TTATTTGCACTGTTACAGGCACTTGAATCTGCTGTTTATAAAATTGTGTGAATGAGAAGGGGAAATTCAGCAGTGTCTCTTTCAGTTTTGCTGCTGCCTCAGAGAAGTTACAGGCCATGACCAATGAGGCAGCATACAGCAGCTTTTTTGCTGTAGATGCTAAATTGTATGGAGAAAAAAGAATCTATTTTTTTGTTATGTAAGATCACACTGCCAACCTTTTACTGAGCACAGGCTAGACTGAAATGTAAGGTGAGTCTGCTGAGTATTCATCAAAGATTGGGCCATTGGGTAGATCATTAATGCAACAGAACATTTTTATTGTGGAGCATAGGACAGCTGCTGACTGTCATGAGGAGAAGAGCAGCAGAAAGCCAAAATGCAGCAGTGGTCAGCTTGGGGAAGACCATACTGTTCGTTCTGTTTGAGCTATTGCATAAATTTGAGCTGGAACAGCTTCTCTTATGGGATCATGAAAAGAGATTTGATAAAAAACTCATGTCATGTAAGGAAAATACTCAAATCCCTGGAAGTTTAGGTGTGGAATAATACATTAAAGACTGAGATCCATAACAGAATAAGACAAGACCACAGAAATCAAAAGGTTTCTACAGGACCACTGGAGAATAAGTACCTGAAGATATACAAGGGATTAACAAAAGGATTTGGAAAACAAAGTTTAAAAAATTACTAAGAGATGGCTGAACATAAACTGATGTTTTGAGAGCCTTTTTAGTAGATAAGTGAGAGCCTGGAGACATGATTTCTGAAAGTTTTTCTTCTCCAAAGACATAAGAAAGCAGGTCTCCCTATGACTCACTTTCAGAATCTGTGCGGGGGCGTCTACGGCTCTGGAATCCGGCTATCTGGTGAGGGGCGAAGGCCAGGGCCCCTGCGCATCAGAAAGCAGCACAAACTTAAGAACACACCACAGCAAGAATCAAAATGCAGATGCCCTCAGGGGTTTAGAGAAGAATCATGGTGTTATAGAGGTTGTGACACTTCTCTAAAACTTAGCTAAACAAATGTCTAATGGGAAAAAGCTATTGGAGATGCGTCAGCAGAAGTGAAAGGAACACCCAGCTGTAGCTGCAAATATAAGATGCACAAGATCCTCTGATTCCCATTTTATTCTAGGAAAATATAAACTACCTAAGATTATTAAATAATTTCAAGTTTTATAGTCTCATCCACAGCAGTTTTAGTGCTAATGCATTCATGTAGTAAAAAGTAAATTAATTTACTTACCATAATTTCAGGTTTTTGTCTCTACAAGCCTGCTGGGCAGTATGGACTGTACTAGAGGGTGTAAAAGTTCTTTGTCCTTCACTGTGAATGTTTCTTTAGAGAATTTATGTGGTCTATCCAGCCTTCACATGACAAGATATCAGCAATATTCTTGTTTTACACCGTATCAGAGATCTAGCAGAACTGTAAACAGTATTTGTTTGGGTTACGTTGCACTGCTGTGGAGGATGAATAGGTTTTATTCATTCATTTAATTACTTCCAAGATTTTCATAAAAACCAGGTCCAAGCTGATAATAAAATTATATACTAATTCTTTTCAGTAAACTTTGACTGAATTAAAAAAGGCAAATGTATTTTGGTTTTGTTTTTCATACTCCGGGTTCCTGAATTTACATATATTTAGGCTTCACTGTAAATGCCATACATGTTTCCTTCTGACTCAGACTTTCATGAAGGATGCCTGAAGGAATTTTCTATCTCTAATAAGCTGAACTATATCTCTATCAATTAGCCTTTAATTATTGAGCTTATCATAGATGATACAATCAGAAAAATAGGATTGTCCTGGTCTGACAGGATATTACAATTCTACAGTGCTGCAGACTTCCTGTGCACAAAAATTAAAGGAAGAAGGGCATATGGCCATAAACTTCAGTGAACTAGATCTAGGAAAAAAAACAAAATCTAAAACAAAGTGCTTAATAAAAAGGGGTGAAAGAAGGAAGAAAGGGAGTGAAGTCCTGGCTAATACAGGAAAGAGGGTAGTGGTATATGTTGATGATGCCTAACTTCTAAATAAAAATCAGTTGAGTTTTCAGTAAGAAATATTCTCAATATGAATTAATGGGGATAAATAAATATTATAGTAAAATAACAGAGAGTACTGTATCTGTGTCAGAAGCAAGATTTAAACTGCATTCTGTGGGGAAATCAGAATTTCTCTAAAATCTCAGTGCTATAGCACTGAAAAGATTACTGTATTGCTGTAAGTCCCAAACCATTTGCTTTCTATAAAACTTTCAATGGAATATATAAATACAACCTATTATATAGATAATAGCAAATACAACTACAGATACTTATAAGGATAATTAGCAAACACACTACCTATTTTCCTAAAACCAGGAAATCACCAGGGCAGCTACATGCTTATTTTCTTGAACAAGAACAATTTTGAAAAAAACTATTTGAATGAGAAAACATCAGCTATATCTAGCTACATCTAATGTAGGTTTCACTAATGAAGGATTATATCTGAATAAATTAATACCTGTTTTGCAAAGTTTAGCTGGCATTTAAGGCAAAGGTAATACAATTTACTTTATTTGTCTAGATTTCAGCATTTGTCTAGATTTCATGTGATATCCATTGTTGAATTTTAAGTGATAGGAACTGGGAGAAGATGTGACCTGTTGGAAAAAGTGTAAGGTAAACTAGGAGATGGTTAAAGCTACATCACTTTAGCAGAAATTGAATTACTGACTTTAATTGGGATTACTCGCAGTGTTCTGCAGGCATCAGTCATGGGACTGATCCTGTCTGATCCATTACTTGGGTCTGTTTCAAGAGAAGGTTCTTGAATTAGGAATCTTGTTCAAGGGCCTGTACTGATGTTATCTGAAGGTGTTCTAAACTAAGCAGTTCTCATCCTGGAGGGAATCAAGTGGTTATACAGGAAGGAGAAGAAGAATTTTTGTATTGGAGTGATAGAGCTCAACTAAATTTTAATGAAAAGTCATATACTTAAGGCTAGAAAGAAAATTTTTTTGCTTTGTGCCAGGGACAAAATGAGTCACTAACATGACATGCACATATGGAAAGTACATGTAATTTGAGTGCAGATTATCATTTAGGCAAATGATTTTTGGGAGAGGCAGGAAAAGAATTTGTGCAGAGACCTGATATGGGCTTGTTTAGAGTCTTGTGTGCAGCTCTGGTTGGCTATGTTGAGTGACCAAGTGGAGGCTTACAGTGTGAGTAGGACTTCCTGGCTTCTGAAAAGGCACTGGAAGAAGGAGCATTTATACCAAAAAATATGGGATTGAAATCAGGTGTGTCTAAATAAGTTGCAACTACATTTAGAGTGGGAATTATATTATAATTTATATCCATTCATGTTCAGAAATGGTCTTCCAAAGAGCATAGAGGAGGAAGGAGGTCAGTAAGGCTTGCTTGTGCTACATCAGCAATTTAGGGAAGACATTTAATAACAGGACAGGGAGAATTCTGCTGGAAAAAAAAATTCTCATCAGAGACAGATTGCTAACTGTACTGGAAAGATGCTTGGTCACCATGTCTGCTCACACTGTGTGTTAAATCTTAGATTATGGTAGGTTACTATAAGTCTATTCTCTTAAAACTTTTTTAAAGTGGGAATGTTTTCATGACCAGGTCTTTAGGATTTGCTTTGTCTGTTAAAAGTTTCCTGATATCTGATAAATCTACTCTTGATGGAGAGTTCTTCTGTTCCCACTGTGAGACAGTAACACCAGATCTTCACCAAGAGGTGCTTTATTACAGGTGCACAGTACTCTAAAAAGCCTGTCCGGTTTGAGGCTTTCTGAAATGTCCCAGGAAGACTGAAGGAATGCTGGGTGCACATGTGGACATAAATTAGCAGAAACCTGTTTCCTCTCCTAAGGTCTGAAGGGACTATTCATGATGGCAGGACCAGTGAAAGGTCTTTTTTTCTATCTAATTTTTGTAGCACAGCAGATTTTGTCGTTCACTGTTTTCTCTCCTGCTTTCTTTTGTGATGTTTAATCTTGACTACTCAGTCTTTAGAGTCACTCATGGTGGGCAGGAGGAAGGTAAAAAATGTTCCAGGGGACTCTTCCAGATCTGGACTGCCATTATGCAAGGGACTAATCTCATTGATCTGATGTCATCTACTATTTCTGTATTTCCAAACCACTCAGCCCTCAATATCTTTGTTATTAACTGTTTCTTAATATCTTGCTTCCAAGGGGATCTAATGTCTAGTAGTATAGCTAAGTTAACGTGGTTACCTTTTCCTCAAAGAGGACACTGATTTCTTTTTGTTTTCCCAAGTTGGCTGCCTTTTAAAATGATACCTCTTTGAGAACTATCTTTCCTCCTCATTCCAAACAAACTTTCCAGTAACTGTCTGCTGGTTTCAAAAGTCACTGAGGAAGACAGACATGTAGGTTCAGTGACAACACAATTTTGTCAGCCTTGTTTCCTTGTTGCAGAGTTTCTGCTAAAATCTGGATGGTAATAGGACAATTCTTCTATCCCATTGTGATGTGCCTCTGATTTCTCATAAAATCTTTAACTCATTGACATGGTCAAGACACAGTGATGAACTATTCTACAAGTATTAGGAAGAGCAAGCATAATAGCTCAAGTGACGCTGCATGTCTTCATAAACATCCTAGTGATCTCTGCCATGAATTAGAGGTAAAACATAGGGCTGAAATAAATCTCCAAGGGCATTTTGCTGAAGATAATGACTCTTAAAAGTTCTCCTCTAACAATATACTGTCAAGCAAATGATGCTATATACATTATTCTTATAATTGTGCTGGATTTGAGTTCTTGAAAATCAGTTTGAGAACATGCTAGAAATAATTATAAAAAATCATAAATAAAGAGACACTCCATTGACTAACAAAGATGGAATATTCATATTCTAATGATAGCAATAGACAAATAAAAGGGTGACCACAGCAACTGTATCAGCACATCTCTGTTAATATGTTTGTAGTTTATTCCTTTGTTTTGATTACAGATCATTTAAGCTGCAGATACTTTTAAATCACGCCATTACAGTGTCCTGGTGTAGCTAGCTGGCCAGCAGAAACTGTGATTTGTAGAACTGGTTTAGAATCCATTAATGTTTTCTGAAAAAAGATGAAAAATAGTGAAGAAGTGATACAAGATAGTAGCTACAACATATATATTTGGTCAAAATTTAAAGAAAGTTTTACTCTCATAGCTCACTAAGGTCATGATTTGATTGTGTCCCAAATATGACAGTAATGTAAAAGAATTGTAGTGAAGAACCATGTGGACACAATTGTGTGCCATGTGCTCTGGGATGAGCAGGGAGATTGGACCAGATGACCCGCTGTGGTCCCTTCCAACCTGATCCATTCTGAGACTCTGTATTATTCTGTGAAGAAGCCAAATTAATAAGGGTAATTAATAATGTTTTTTCCAATGCCATAGCAGAGGAAACTTTGTGAAATGTGCGTGTTGTGAATAATCATTGTGGTGTTTGCTCTCATGACTGAAGAAGTAAATGTTAATGATACAGTGCAGGAATAAAATAAAGCTGCTTATGAGGTTTGTTTTTATTTTAATATCACCAGCTTCATTGAATCAAGCAAAGGCTAACTTCATACCCCGAATTTAATAAGAGGGCAATAACACGACCTAGAAGTAGGGAAACACATAGTAATATGTTCCCAGGATACAGAATCACAGAATCACTATGTTGGAAGAGACCTTCAAGATCATCGAGTGCAACCCATGCCCTAACACCTCAAGTAAATTGTGGCACTGAGTGCCACATCCAATCTTTTTTTAAACTTATCCAGGGATGGTGATGTTACCAGGCAGACCACTCCAGTACTTTATCACTCTTTCCATAAAAAACTTTTTCCTAACATCTAACCTATATTTCCCTTGGTGCAGCACAAGACTGTGTCCTCTGGTTCTGTCAGTGCTTCCTGGAGAAAGAGACCAAACCCCCACCTGACTGCAGCCACCTTTCAGGGAGTTGTAGATGGTCTCCTGTTCTCGAGGCTGAACACCCCCAGCTCCCTCAGTCGTTCCTCACAGGGTTTGTGTTCCCAGCCCCTCACCAGCCTCGCTGCCTTCTCTGGACACACTCAAGAGTCTCAATGTCCTTCCCAAAGTGAGGGCCCAGAACTGGACACAGAAGTCAAGGTGTGGCCTCACCAGTGCCAAGTACAGGCGGAGAGTGACCCCCCTGCTCCTGCTGGCCACACTGTTCCTGACACAGGCCAAGAGCCATTGGCCTTCCTGGCCACCTGGACACACTGCTCATGTCCAGGTGGCTGTTAACCAGCACCTCCAGTCCCTTTCCTCCAGGCACTGTCCAGTCACAATAGTTTCCAATCCTGCAAAAATTTATTCTTGAGAGACTTCCTGAGTGAGCCTGATTATCTACCTTTAATAACCTTCTATTTTTTGTGTTGGGGTTTTAAAATGCTTACTCTTTTGATATGCCCATTGTGTGAAGGATAGGTCTGCAGTCTGTTTAAAATCTATCTCTTGCTGGTTTATTTAATTTGTACTACTTATATCTGTCCTTCCAGATCTATATCATATTCTTTCAATGAAAGTTTCAAATCTGCTTTAACACTAGCTTTGTTGGATTTCAGCATTCTATTTATCAAGTAAGAGACTTCAGTCTCCTAAACTGTCTTAATATTTTCTTTCCTGGAAAGTCTCTTCCCTCTCCTTAAGACATAAACTTTTTGATGGGTAGTCTGACTGGAGATGAAATCTGGTGTTTTTGAGAACTGTATTTTTAGTCTATTGTTATCCAGATTTTTTTTGTAATCCTGAGTTCTGTAATATAAAATTACTTGTCAAAACATTCAAATACAAATCTAACCATTCATAAATTCAATACACAGTGGTTGATCAAAGGTAGTTTCAAATCACAGATTTAAGTGAAATATGTAAGTGAACTTACCCATCACTTAATCAACTGCATTTCTGAAATGCCCCAAATATTGGCTGAGCATTTATTCTAAACTGCAGCAACATATTTAAAGAGGCTGCTTACCTGGTTTTGAGGAGCATAACTATTGCCCTTCTTCACAGGGCCGTTTTTCAATGCTTTCTCCCTGGCATGGCCTGCCATCAGGTCCTGTTGCAGGATTGTTACACTGGCGGGTTCGAGTGCTCTCTCCGTTGATGCAGGTGGACCAGGCGCTCCAACAGCTCCAGCCTCCATCAGTCACAACTGGTATGAAGACATCATACAGGATTAGGCCATCCACCTCTTTCAAGGTAGACCATGACTCAACTCAGTTTTGGTGATTCTGCACATCACTGCAGCCTCCTGAGCACAACCCATCACAAAGATTTGGCATTTAAAAATTTGTCAGTGGCAGTGCTGAAGAACCCTGGGCTTTCAACATTTTTTGTCATGCTAGGAAACAAGCTCTGAGGTCCATTTTGGGCACCCGTGTGTTAAAAACCTGGCCCCAGAGAATGAACTTACTGCACAGTAAATTTTTTACGTTGTCAGTTGTGGAACTTTTCCCCCAACCTAATATTAAACTAGCACCGTAACTGTGAAACATGACGTGTGCTAACACACACCGAGTTTTAACAGAAAACTGAAGACAAAATAATTTAAGACATGGTGAGATTGCTTTTGCCTGAAATTGGTTTACCAGTACTGCACCAAGCTGCAATACTCCTGTGTACTTAAATGAACTTTGTGTCACTCCAAGACACAGTAATGTATGTGTGACAAAGAACTTCAAATTAGAGTACCCTCTTAATGGAATAAACCCAGCGACTTACCTTACCTTCCATATGCATTTGATAGCAGTAGTAATTAAGGAGTGCTATGTTCTTATGAAGGCTCATTTTGTCAGCATATTGTTACAACAGATATGTTCATTTTAGTTTAATTTGAGCATTTACTCACCTTTCACTAATGTAGATTTGGGAATCTGACAAGCAATTCCCTTAAAATAACTTGAGCACAGGCATGTACAGACTCCATCTACCAGCACAAGGGTGCCTCCATTTTTACAGGGTTTACATTTGCACACACTGTATTCAGTAATGTAGTCTTCAATTGCCCTTTCCAGATTTTGTTTCTTTAAATATGCATCTCTCATCTTAACTGGAACAAGTGTATATATTGGAGAAGGCTGTAGAAGGAAAAAAGCCCATGCATAACACAGAACTTCCAAAGTTCTGAATCCTTTTGATATAACCATCACTGGAATAAAAATCTGAAGAAACAGTTAAGATAAAGGCAATGTGTGAAAGTTGATTATAAACTTGGAATCTCCCCTCGATCATAGAACAAAAGCTTTCAAACTGTAAAAAGCCACAGCTTTGGAGAACCTGTACTTACCCGTTGCTGTATCACTACTGGAGCATCAACCAAAGATTTAGCCCACTCCATGTAATCCTCTACATCAACTGCTTTGGCTCCTCGTAGTAACATTTCTTTGATTTTAACTGAAAAGTCAATCTTCCCTCCTTCAACTAAGGAAAGGACATCGTCAATGACAGCATTATCGTTCATTTCTGCTGCAGAAAAGAAAAAAAACCGAGGGTGAAGCAGGTTGTTTAATGTCCATCCATCTGGAAGAACAGCTGTCCTCCTAGTGCAGCCTGTCCCTCTTTGTAAAATGATTATAGAGAGAACTCTTGGTTGTATCAGAATTCAATATCTCTTTGCTTATACCTCTTATGTGGGAGGAAATCTTTAATTTTGCAATTAAATTAGAAAACTCTAGAAGGAAAAGAAAGGTTAGGACAAACTGAGACACATTATGGAGATCACAGTCCTTTGATGTCAAGCAGAAGATAAACCAAAAAAGGGCAGGAATTAGAATAGTAAGAGCTTTTGCTTCATAATTAAAATACAAGAGCAGAGCACTGAAAATAGTTCCCTCTTATGCATTAGTAGTAAATATCCTTGCCTTTTGCAATTTTTATTCCACGTGAAACAAAGCCCATCTCCAGACACTTATGAGGAGCTGAGGGCCACAATGACAGGCAGGGGAACACAAACAAGGTAACCAGAGAAAGGGAGCCTCTGCTTTGACTCCTCCCAGGCCTGTTCCAACAGAGTCATTAGCCCCGTAGGATGGGGCTGAGGATGAGTCAGCAGCAAGGTGAGTCAATGGAAGGACTCTCTGGATGCAAAGAATGGCATAAAGGGATAAAGGCAAAGAAAAAGGGCCTGATTGCATATAGGCAAATGACTGATCTGTGAGCTACTGTGCTGTGTATTGTCCTTCATCTTTGCAATCTGTCCTGGCCTACCATTAAATTCCATTCTAACGCTTTTCTAGGGTGAAGGGACTCTATTCTGTGTGCATGCATGTGTATAGAGCCCTGTGTGCAAGCAGCTAGAGCTGGACAAGGGGTGATAGGCACCTGGTGTTTGTGGTGGCAGCCCCTAGAGCAAGTGACAATACATATGCCAGGGTGCCAAGCCAGACTAGCAGGTGAATATGGGGTAAGTGGCATGGGAGCCATGCCACTTACCAGAGCAGCTGCTGCTGTGGCCTAGATCTGGTGGCTTTCCATGATGCAGTGACAGCAGCAGTCAGCAAGGGATGACCAGCAGATGTCATCCACCTGGCCCTCTGTAAGACCTTTGATACAGTTCCACATAACTGCCTTTTCTCCCAGTTGGAGATATATGGACCTGAGGGGTGGACTTATTGGTGGGCAAGAAACTGGCTGGATGGGCACAGTCTGAGGGTTGTGATCCATGGCTCTACGTCCAGGTGGAGGCTGGTGATGGGTGGTGTCCCTCAGGCCTCTATTTGGGACTGATTCTCATCAGTATCTTCATCAGCGATAGAGTGGGGTCAGGTGCACTCTCAGAAAGTTTCCAGATGACACAAAGCTGAGCCATTAACACAACAGAAGGACTGGATTACATCCTGAGACACCCAGAGAAACTTGAGAGGTGAGCCCACAAAAACCTTAAGAAGTTCAGCAGGTCCAAGTGCAAGGTGCTACACCTGGGTCAAGCAATAGCAGGCCTGAGCACAGAGTGGGAGGAGAGCCTGTGGAGAGCAGCCGTGCCCAGAAGGGCTTGGGGGTGCTGTGGGTGAGAGGCTGCACATGGCCCAGCCATGGCACTCCCAGCCCAGAGAGCCAAACGTGTCCTGGGCTGCACCCAGAGCCCCGTGGGCAGCAGGGCAGGGAGGGGATTCTGCCCCTCTGCTCGGCTTTCAGGTGTCTCTAACACGAGGAAGATGTGGACCCTGTGGAGAAAGTCCAGAGGAGGCCACAGAAATGGATGGAATGCTGGAAGACCTTTCCTATGAGGGACAAGCTGAGAGAGACGGGGTTTTTCAGCCTGGAAAAGAGAAGGCTCTGGGGAGACCTCATTGCAGTCTTCAAGTACTTGAAGGGGACTTATAAAGAGAGAGGAGGGCAATATTTTCACTTGGTTAGATATGGACAGAACAAGGAAGAGTGATTATAAACTAAAAGAGAGGAGATTTAGATTAGATGATAGAAGGAATTTCTTTACTCAGAGAGCAGGGAAGCAGTGGAACAGATTACTCAGAGAAACTGTGCCTTGTCCTGTAAATGTTCAAGGCCAGGTTGGGTGGGGCTCTGGACAGCCTGATCTAGTGTGTTGAACCCCTTTCCAAAATGGTGTGTTGGAGCTAGATGATCCTAAGGTCCTTTCCAACCCAAACCATTCTATGCTTTTAGGTCTCCAGAGTGAGACAAGTGGAGGAGCTGGGTACTGGGTTTCTAGGCCAAATACTGGAGAGACCTCACAGTTCTGGGTTTGACTGAGATGTTTTCTCATATGAATTCACTTCTGTCTAAGGCAACTGGAGGTAAGATGGTCCAAGGGCCAATTGCTGGATCGACTGAGCCCCTAACACCAGTCCCTGGAGGCATGTGTTGCCTTGGACAAGGTGGCCTCCAGAGGACCCTCCCAACCCTCAGCTTTCCTGTGATTCTGTGATATTGCCCACTGAAAGTCTTCTCCCTGATAAAATGGAGAGGAGAAAAAGATGAAACCATTTGTGCCGTTTGTGTTTGCCTGAGCACTGTGTATTTTGTCTGTATTTATTTGTGGCCAGTGACCTGTGTGTGTTTGTATGCATCATGCTGGTGTTCATGTGTGTGCAGGCTGGGAACACATTCTCAGGCTGTCTTGACTTGGGAGCATGGAAGAATGTGAACCTCACCTATAGTGCTCTACTGGATTTGTCTTTCCCCTGACAGTAATAACTATATTGATTATTCAGGGGAAGCAGCTGGTGCTGTCTTTTCTTAAGAAAAAGATGTAATGTAAATCAAGAATATACTTACATTTGTCCTTCCTATGAATATGTTCACATTTACCACCATCAACATTAATATTGGCTTGTATGTTTTCATATGCAATATTGGCATCTAAGTGATAGCCAAGGCATTTTTTTACATCTTCTACAGTGATTCCTGGGAATAGAAATAGGTAATTAGATGGATTGAATAAGCATAAATAACAAGATATTATTATTCTTACAAAATACATTTCAGGCCTATTGGAAATGTTTGTGGCTTTCTTCTTACCATTTATCTTTTACTTTTTCTTTAGCTATCTAATAAATATGAGGATGACTGTAATTGAAATGCCTGAACAGATGCAGGTGAGATCTGTAGTGACTAAGAAAATACAGAAAATGGATTTCTGCTTTTCTTTATCTAGTTGAAAGCAGGTTCAAGAAAATGGTTCATGAAAATGGTTCCTTTAGGAACCATTTTTTCCTTTTATTATATTGAAATTTTGTGTTTTGCAGTTGCTCAATATTTACTTATTTTATATACTAAATTACTGAATTCTTTCAGTCTCTCTTCTAACCTCAATTATGTTTCTCCACTCCTTTTCCCCATAAAATTAATCAAGGCCACTGATGTCTTAAAAGTATGCTTTTTCCATTAATTCTAATCTACCTCTACCCACTACTGTTTCCAGCATCTCCTTTCTCTTTATTGAACCCAAACCCAATATCATCTGCCACTTCAACACTGTATTCAGAAAGAATTTTGCTTAAAACTGGGACTTAAAAAATCCAGAACTACAATCTCAAGGTGATGAACAGAGTAATAGTGGGAAATGAAATTGACATATTTGTCCCGTGTCCCTTTTCATAGCCTCAATATTTGATAGTAATATTGATATTGCTGGTGCAAGCATCAGGTACTGATTTTCTGATCTCCAAAATCAACGTGAGAATTGTCTTTTCTCACTTGATTCCCATGTGATCACTTTAATCCAGCACAAACCCACATATATGTGAACTGCACATGAGGGAAGATTAAATTTCCACATTCCTATTTTAATGAGGGCATGGAATATTCCAGTGAGAATGTTGAGAGCTATGAAATCAATTTCAACACAGTCACATGCTCCATGTGGTTTCTAGAAAGCACTTCCATTTATTCCTTGCTTTTTGTCACCACTATACTCATAGAGTGACTGTACCACAAAAAGTTACCAAACAGGATTTAGGGTTTAGACAGGTTTTCTTATCTTTGGACAAGATCTCTTGTGAATTATGCAATTATTGCTAGTGTGTTCATGAGGTTTGTTAAAGATTTCTTTGGCCCCCTCAGTCACAGACTTAAAACAGAGATTTCAAATAGTTTTGTAAATTATGAAGTTGACTCTTTTCTCTGTAATCTCTCATAATTCTGTAATCTCACTGGTGTGCCACAAACAGCATGCACTAATCTGCACTTTCTCAGTATTTTTCCACAAACACAGTCTCGCTACCATCACATGTCTCTTTGAAAGTCTGGGAACTTGGTCGTAGCAAGGCCAACAGAAAGCATACCTAGTCGAGACATAGCATAATTATCCAGCACGTAAACAAGTTCGTATTTTCCTCCTACAGTTCCAGAGAGTGCATAGTGAGTTCCATAGTCTTCTAGGAATTTGAAATACTCCCCCTTGTCATATTCAGCAGGCAGAAATTTTAAATCATCAAGGAAACTGTCTGTGAGACGAACATCACGACTCCGAATTTGGAACCTTCCCAGCTGAATCTGTCCTTTTACATGCAGAAAGGTTTGGTTCTGAATGCAGGGAGAAAAAAGGAGAAGTGAGTGTCATTCTGGTATGCAGCCCAGCACAAAAATCTATTCTGTTTTACTTGTAAAGAAACTGCAGCACTTTTCAACATGGCATTCAATCTAGCATTATGGAAAAGGGACAAATTTGTTTTATAACAATTAGAAAGCTCTCTGATCTAAACTGAGGAACCAGAAATAGAGTTATTTTAGTTCTTCCAATTTAGAACTCTTCCCTTATTTCAGCAAGCCCTTTGTGATCTATTTCACAACAGGTGTCTTGAAGACCAATACCTACTGAAAAGTGGCTTTCTGACTTTTGTAACCTTGCAAAGTAGTTCTGCATGGCTTGCTAAATAGCAGAAGCTGCCCACTCAGGTCAGATGGAGTTTCCTCTTTGTTTATAGTCAGAGCAGACCTAAGTTCTCTCTCTTTTTGGACCACTTCCCTGTTATTCTCAGATTGTCAGAAGGAAGGGCACAGCTCCAATTAAAAACAAAACCCTCCTCACGGTTAGAAAGAAGAGCACAGTTCCAATTAAAACCAAAAAAACTCCAAACCAACATCATAAAAGGAAATTTAATGAGGAAATAAACCTCCATATTATGTATTTGAACCATACATACATTGTAAGTCTAGATATAACAACGGATATTTTTGTAAATTTCACTCCCAGTGATTTTATACATTATTCTAAGTTAGGACCTAGCTACTGCCCATAACTTGTGAAATAAAATCTTATTAAATACTAGCACTTAAGACTCTAAGGGAGCACATGCCTTCTAAGCCCTATTATTATTTGCAGTATTTATGTGACTCTCTTAATAGTAGTGCCCAATAGGAGGTATGAAAAAGGGACCTTGCTCCTGACCATTATGTTATCCAGCACCATTAAAAGGATCTTAAACTGCTGACTCAGATGCTGCTTAAGACTGGCAGAAATCTTCAGGTACCTAAATCACTGTGAGGAAATGTTTGTAGGTGCAGTATTCCTGCCAACCAGCATACACAGTTTCTCGCCAGGCGCCTCCAGGATTATGACTTTAACTTTCAGGTGGGCCCTGGAGGGCTCTCATGCAGGGACTTTCACTCCACTACCCTGGAGCCCTGTGACTTTGCAGTGATAGAACTCTTCTTGTGACAGGTTGTGACTCATTCTGTGAACTGATCTCTCAGCAAGGATTTGAGTCCAAAGCTCCTATCATAAACCACTAGACTATAAGCAGACATTAAAACCCCCTGAGCCATAGAGCTTGATCTTTTATGTCTGTGAAGATTCATGATTTGAGGTTTAAATGGTTTGTTTCCATCCCAGGAAAACTCATACCGGTACAAAGGCAATGTCGGGCTCAGCTTATCTTTATTGTGCAGATCTTTGTCTTCAGCATTATTTCAATTAATCAGTGATAAAACTTAGTTTAGCTTTTCCTTATGTCTATTCAACCTCCAGAGCTCTGAATGGGTCCTAGGCAACAAGACTGACAAACCTGAAAACATTAATTAGTTGAGGCAAATTCCTTGCACATGGTGCACTTCAGCTCTATGGAGTTGATACGCCTTGTATATGGTGGCATATTGTAGTCACAGACCCTGGCACAAAGTGTGGAAAATTGTAACCTGATCAGTTAATTCCATTAGCACACAGCTGCTGGATTAGGCCATAATGTTGTGTTCTGCTCATTTTGGCTGAGGAAAAAGTTAATTTTCTTCACAGTGGCTAGCACGGGACTATGTTTGGGTTTTTTGCTGAACACAGGTTTGATAATGCAGAGATGTTTTTGTTACTGCTGGACATTGCTTACACGCAGCCAAGACCTTTTCTTCTTTTTGTACGGCTGTGCTGCCAAGGGGGTTGGGGCTGCTTGGGAGGTTGGGGGATACACAGCTGGGACAGGTGACTCAAATTGATCCAAAGGATTTTTCCATACCTTATGACATTGGGCTCTGTGTATAAAGCAGGTTAAAGAAGGAGGAAAGGGGGGATGTTTTGGAGTGATGGCATTTGTTTTCCCAAGGCCAATTTACGTGATAGAGCCCTGATTTTCTGGAGGTGTTTGAACACCTGCCTGGCTGTGGGAAGCAGTGACAGATTTCCTTGTTTTGCTTTGTTTGTGTGCATGGGTTTTGTTTTCCTGTTAAACTTTATCTCAACCCAGGAGTTCTCTTGTTTTTACCCTTTCCATTATCTCCTCGAGCCTGCTGGTGGAGGAGTGAAGCAGCAGCTGCCTGGGGCTTATCTGTTGCCTGGGATTCAACAGCAGCATGTCTAACATCACTTTTTGTGAGCTATTTCATTTTGGCCTCACTAAGGTCAAAATGCTTACAAAATGCTAAGGCTACTTTGCTATCAAATAAAATGGGGTAGGGTCATTTCACTGTTTCAAAGGGCAGGTAGAGGTATGGCTTATGCACAATCCCAAAATGGGCTTGCTTTTCTCCAGACTGTCTACAAGAACATTCCCTTCAAGCATGCTGTGGGGAAGTGCAGGATGGGCATTGCTTATGAGAACTAGCACTCACTTAAGTTGTGCCAGCAAGCTAGTAAACTGTGGATTATCTTTGTACCAGTGCTAGTGCCTGTTCCCTATAGCCCTGGCTAGTTTATTAGTACACAGGTACCCACATATCTGAGATTTGACCTTTTGGTTATTATTCCTGAAATTTATTTTGTGTTTATGTGGTATAGGCCTACTCAGTGGCAATTTTTCATCATAAGACTTGATCTAATTTGCCCACTTTGCACTAGCTCAGAGCTGCTCTTTAATTAGGATGGGACCAGACATCTTGATCCTTTCTAACACCAAACCCCTGATGAAGATATGGGTGCTTGCTAGTCAAAGATAAACAGTGGGAAAAAGAAGATACTTTGAGTTGCCATTTGGCTGTGTCTGAAATCTTAACCCTATTGTCACCAGTATTTAATTAAAAAAAATTTTAAAAAGGCAGCAGCTGCCTAGAATACTTAGATTATTATTGCCTAATTCTAACACTGTATAAACTGTACCATTTGTAAAATAGTTACATTAAAGCATTTAGAAGAATTAATCTCACCCTTTCTGTGTAGCTTTGCAGGATGGAATTAAAAGTATAATTCTTTCTGTAGTCATATTTGAAATTTCCTTCTGAATCATTTTTGTTGCTCCCATCTGTAGGTGTGTACTTCAGAGAGGCGTCAACACTGAAATATTTCTGTTTTTCTATGTAAACCTCTTGTAACATTTTCACACGATCATGGTAGTACACAGATGAGAAAGTTTTGTCTGCTTTTGTCTGAGAAAAGATAGAGAAAAGGTTGTATGAGTGAACAACAGGCAGTAGTTGAAAAATCTATGTAGCATGTTAAAGCTTTACTTTTTACAGGGCATATCAATGCATTTTCTTACAGCTCTTTTTCCTTTTAAATCAAAACAAATGGAAATAACACTCCCTCCATAAGCTACCTCATTGGGATCAGCTCAGTCGTTCAAAAGTGAACAGAAAGCTGCAGTGACAATAATTTAGTGACTGTTAAATCTCAGCATGTGACACTGTCAAATTTGTGTGTGTCAACAGTCCCTTCACACTGTCTGCAGCTTCCTTGTGAGGGAACAGGAGGGGCAGACACTGATCTCTGCTCCCTGGGGACAGTGACAGGACCCGAGGGAATGGCCTGAAGTTGTGCCAGGGGAAGTTTAGTTTGGATATTAAAGAAGGTTCTTCACCCAGAGGGTGGTTGGGCACTGGAACAGCTCCCCAGGGAAGTGGTCACAGCACCAGCCTGGCAGAGCTCAAAGAAGCGTTTGGAAAATGCTCTCAGGTGTGATCCTTGTGGAGTCCTGTGCAAAGCCAGGGGTTAGAATCAATGATCCTTTTGGGTTCCTTCCAGCTCAGGAGATTCTATGACTCTATGTGAGGAATAATAGTCTCTCCTTCCTAAAATAGAGTTAAAATTTTCTAAAAGCTCCTGACTTCTTAAAAAAAGTTAGAATTATGATTCAGCCTTCTTTTATTACAGCAAATAATAACTAATCCAGTTATTTTATTATAGTTTAGCAGAACATCACATTTTAGCAACTGAAAATTGTTATACATCATAACCAAACATAACCAGAGATCTCTGGGTCAAATTTACTCATTTGAGGAAGAATCTGGTTAAAATTGTATTTGTTTTGTCAAGTTCCTACTTAGAGTAATTTAGAAGGCAAAATTGTGCTCTGATTTCTGAAAAGTGTTTAACATTTTTTTCAACAATGATCAACATTTTTGGTGTTCAAACCTCACTGAAAGTCACAGCCTGAAATTTAAAAGCCTAACATTTTTTTTTCCCCCAATGGGACAGAGAAGATCATCACTAATTGGAAAAAAACAAGTAGGACCAGAATATTGTATTATTATGTCTGCCTTTTTATCAGAGTCTTTTACATGTCCTTGAAAATGTAGCTTATTTTTGTCTTCTACCTAGTAAAAATTGTGTATTGTTATCCTTTCTGTATATCTTCTGTCCGTTTCTTCTGCTCATGTTTCAAACATTCCAGAAAGATAGTTCCATTTATTGTGCAAAGGTGCAGCACAAAGACGTGGGAATTTGTCTGGCATAACTGAGCTTGACTGCCAAAGTAAACGATAACATAAACTCTTTTCCTTCAGCACAAGCTTGAGCCTGAAAAGCTGCTGTCTGGCTCGAGAGATGTCCTGAGCCTTCCAAGAGTATTCCAGGAGCTGGCATTCAATAAGGCACATGACATCTTGCAAAGGATTCACACTTACATCGTAAGTGAGGGCAGCCACGTTCCACGGCTTGCGGTAGTACGTCCGTGTGTTCCCATCACGCACCCGCTCACAAAGACCATTGAAAAAGTCATTGTCAAATGGGCTGGCCATTGGCTGCATCCCTAAAACATTGATTCTGCAAGAGAAACACAAGGGAAGTTATACTCAAAAGAGAGTGTGTCAGCACACATGATCTGTAGACTGGAAAAGATGTGTTCTGTCAGAGACGGAAACTAGAGCTGTGGAACTGGATCTTGCTCCATGCAAGCAACTTGTCTCATCTCTTGTGGCTTCTCATCTGTGTACTGGAGTTAGTTACATATTTTGTAAAGTTCTTGAAGGATCATATATGAGAAATAAACAAATAAACAACATTAAATCTTAAACATGGTGAAAACCTTAGGCATAAAAGGAGGTAAAAACCAGTTTTCCTTACCAACATATTTGTGAAAAGAACATTTTTTCTTGACAAGTACATCTGTGAGAAAGCATTCCTTGTAGACTTAAAATGTACATCCCAACAGCCATATGTATTTTTAATAACTCAGTTTATTTGCTGGTAGGCACTTGTTTATCAAGCCTGTACAACATCCATCAAATGTTTAGAAGAAATATGCAGCTACTCCTAGCATTGTCTCTTCTTGCAGGGTGTGACCTGGTGGAATGGCAGCATTTCCTGGAGTATAAGAGAGGAAATCTAAACCATTACAAAACCAGGGAAGCAGGCACATCAGCTGTATACCTCTATGCATCTATATACTGATGTACAAGAAAAACTTCCAAAAATAACTCCTTGGAAGATGCTGTATAATTTATTTGCACTTTTCTGCATGATTCATACATTTCAATCTTTTCAGCATTTCCAATATTTACCTCTGGCAAATGTATGTGCACCTTTCTGAGTGTAGAAAGTGGTAAGCAAGCCATCAAAGTTGCCAGATTATGTCATTACTGAATCTCTATAGAACACTTTTTTATGCAAGATTTTAGTAACAGATTGTAATAGAGGCTTCTAAAATTGCATTTATGCTTGGTTTATTTCCCCATGCTAAAAAACCAGCATTTTTGCTCTTGCAGAGTAAGAAATTAAATGAAAAGGATGTACAATTTTTATTAAACACACTCTTGAGCAGTAATATACTTTTATCTTCTGTTCAGTTTGGATTGCTGCCTTCTAACTGTATTTGTAGGTAAACAATATGTCATGTTTTCTTTTTGTTAGAGATGAAAGAAATCCAGCAGGATCTGAGAACAGAAAGATTAATTTTCAACTTAGATTAATGATGAATGCTCCTGTAAACAACAAGTATGAGGAAGTGGACAATGAAATACTGGAATTGAACTATGCATAAAGTGTTGTAAGGCATCCCATTATATAAATAGTCAAGAGATATTTTCTCCCTTTTAGCATGCATTTTAGCAAAGTAATTGACAATTATTGATTTGTTGTGAAATATCATTATAAACAAATCTATACAGCTATAAAATTTACATTTAAATAAAATGTAAGTTTATTCATGTGGCATGTATGTATGATTCTGTTTACTAACACTATGATCCATTTACACTGTCTGCAGTGCATATTACACTGCATGTTTTATCCTCACAAGTATACAAAATAAAATGGTAGTTAAGTGTTCTTGCAAAGGCTGCTTAGCATTTCTGAACACAAATGCTACCATGAATTCATATTACACTTTTGGGAATGTCACTGTGATCCAGTTTTTTCAGCTGGCTTTGGAGACAATCCCAGACTCTTCACTGGGCCCTTTTGCTACCTACCCTTGTCCTGCAGTCCTGCCAACTTCAGACACATCGATGTCGTGGTTGCGGCATGGTGACCGTGGGTCAGACTCACAGTCATCTTCATCAGAAAAGTCTCCACAGTCGTTATCCAGATTGCACACAAGTCTTCGCTTTATACATCGGCCTGGTCAAGGAATAAAACATTGCCTGAATGCACTTTTATCAAGATGGACTTTAAATGGCACCCTCAGCTACTCTTTATGAAGATCTTCCTCTATGTATATTTCTACTGTTGTCCTGAAGGATTAAAATCCTATGCTTTCCCACTTTCAAATGAAAAAAACCTGCATACTACTGTTATTTGTAAGTTAGTGGGACGACTGAGAAAAGTAAATTGCAGGAGAACTGCTGTCATCTGAAGAAAATTGTTGCAATCTAGACTGTTGTATAATAAAATTCAAATGCCTAGTTGGTTGGGGTTTGTTATTTGTGTTAAGAGAATACAGGGAAATATCAATTCAACAAAAAAATCTTTCTAAATAATTTAAATTGTTGCTGTTTGGCCTATATTATTTGAATAATATGGACATGTAGTGTCCAAAACTATAATAATTTGTTCTTTAAAGCAGCAGGGAAGTAGTAACTTTCCTGAGTTTACATATGATGTAGTTTTACAAAGATGGTTGTTTTTCCCTACAGGATTTAAAGACTTTAGTAAATTAGCTGTAGCATAATAAATCAACATTTTGATATCATCACCTTCACCTGTAAATGCCACACAATCTCTGTGAACTAGTAGTTAAAGGTTTACTTTCTAATTTTTAATTGCTTTATTTGCGCTTTTCAGTGTTTGAGTTAAAAGCAATACAAAAATTGGCTTGGAACTTCAAATTCATTTACCATCATTGTGTTTTTCTTTTCACTAGTTTTTACTACTATTAACTTTTCCTACTTTATTTTGATTTCTGCTGAATCTTAAGCACTACATTTGTATGCCTTGAATCACTTTACAAATTTATATCTTATTTTGCATCTGGATGCATGCTGGTCTCCAGCTAGCATCTGTCATGCCAGTGAGATTGGTAAACATCCATATCCATTCTGTTAAGATTCCTTCAGTCCTAGTTTTTTTTTTTTTTTTTCCTGGTGATTTTTTGTAAAACCTAGTGATCCAGTAGCAAGTTAAGCTAGAAGAAGGGATATGGTCAGTATGGTGCTTCTAACCATGGAGTAACAGCTGCAGAAGAATTTAAATTAGGTGCAAATTAAAATGGAAGATGAGAGGAATGTACCCCTTTTTTATATAAGGGGTTTTGCTGCTGTGGTTTTGGCACTGTGGTTTTGTTCCCACCTGTCCATGGACTGTTTTTGAGTGCTAGCATGAGGCTGATGTAACTTATTCACAGAACTAAAATGTGGTTTCTGAGTTACTGCTTTACTTGCTATGGCATGAAAACAAAACCTACCTGAACTGCACTGAAAGTCAGCACCACAGTTTGGCTCTGGGTCTTCAGGACAGGCTTTGCTGGTTTTGCAGGTTTGTGTGTCTCCTAGGGCCTCCAGGCATGCTTTTCCACCAAACTGCCCGAATCTTTCAATACGTCTGGAGCGAAACTTGAAAGAGAAATAACACTATTAATGTTGCTCAGAGAGAAGAGAGAACTGCACCAGAACTTATGGGTTTCCAGCTGAACTTAGAGCTTTTCAAAACTGAACACCTTTAGTGAAGTTTTTATTGAAAATCCACAGGCAAAATTAATGAATAAAATAACATTGAAATAATAATTATGATTAATAACACTTAGATAGTATGTAAAGATGCTAATTTTCATTATTTAGTTTACTAAATAGTGTGGAAATGAATTTTATATTTTCATATATATTTTCATAAATGTTTTCATATATGTTTTCAAATTTTTGATGTTTTAAAGCCCTGAAAGAAACTCCCCTAAGAAAATAAAAATTTTCTGTGGAAAAGAAATTGTGGGTTTTTTTTTTTTTGGGTTTTTTTTTTTGTTTTTGTTTGTTTGTTTGTTTGTGGAGGTTTTTTTTTTAATTTTAAAAGGGAAGGATGTTTTGAAAAATAAAGTTTTAAGCATAGATAATTTCTATGAAAGTTTTTCATAGATAATTTCTATGAAAAAACTTTGTGAATGAGAACACTTGAGCAGTATTTCACAACTGGTTGTAGTATTCTCTTACTCTGTGGCTTCAAATCTGACATTATTATGGGTTCAATCAAATCATGACCATACATTATTAAGAGCTGAAATGTGACACTTTCTGATAACCAACAGGCAGACAGATATCCCTTTGGCTGTGACTTTGGAACAAAGACTCGCAAGTTCAGCTTACCCTTTGATTGGTGCACGGGTCGCAGGGCCCCCACGCGCTCCAGCTGCTCAGTTTGCAGTCTATTGGAGATGGAGCATTCAATTCCCTTGTTCCCCTGTGGAAGGCTTTTTCTGAAGAGCTGTCAAACAAAGCATTCCAGTGCAGTCCTGGGCAGTATACTAAAATCACATGTAAGTTTGTATTTAAACCATAGACTAATATTTTGGAAGCACCTTCAAGCTGATTTCTGTTTTGTTTTCATAGCAGTACTCAGATGTAACAACAGCTGACTAATCTTAAATTCTTTGGTGGTTTAAAATTACATTAAAAAACCACTTTGAAGACTTAATAAGCCAGGTCTTTCCTCCTTTTTTAGATCTTTGTGCATACAAATGCTCTTCTGGTGGGTCATGTTATTGAAGAGAAGGAAGCAATAGTACACAGAAAACATCTGCGCTTTCCTATTCAGAGAGTGGTTGTGCTCCCCAATTTGTGAAGCTAAAGACTCACACAGAGCAGCACATCTCAAATGGATGTAGCACTTCAATACATGTTAGTGATTTTAACTAATTGACTTTTATGGTGTTGCTCTTAACCCTGCATAAAAGCATAAATGCCTTCCAGAATTGAAAGAAATCTCATAAACAAAGGTATTACTTGGTACCGGGATAACTCACATTGCTAGAAAACACAGACATGTTTAGCTTCCTTACTATTGTTCAGCTTGCCAAGTTCAATACTGCTGCAGTTGGGCCTATTTTTTTGAGAGTGACTTGTCATATTGGTTCTCAGTTTTTAATACAATCAAACTGCCAGTTCTCAGTACATGTAAGGCCATTACTTAATAGAAATCAAGTTTCTTTAAAGCACCCACTGGTGGATATTAAAAACTGATGCATTATAGCATAAACTTGATTTATATCAAGTTTAAAAGCCAAGGCAATTAGTGGTGATCTTATCTTCAGTGGTAAATAGCCAAGGGATAAAGGAGCATTGAAGTATGAATTGCCTTTTTTATTCTCAGTAGCTTATTCCATTTTGGCATTACATTATGATTATTCATTCTCTGTGAAGCAATTCTCTCTGCCTCTCTCCAAGTTAAGGCTCTTGCCTCTGCTCTGCAATGGGACCTTCCTTGCTGAGCCCAGCTGGTTGGCAGATTTGCAGCTCCTGCAGTGTGAGGTACCAATGGGTTTCGCTGTAGGCAGGGCTTTGCCCTCTGCTCTTTGACCTCCTTACATCACACAAATATCACAGGAGTCCAAACAAATGTAATCTGATTCCATAAGATTAAGAAATCTGCAGTTTGGACAACAAAGATATAGCAGTTGATCCAACTTTTTGGTGCCATTTATTCTATTTTAAGTTTACGTACTAACTAAGTTGTTATTGAGAAAATAAATCTACCTCTTTTCAGCTATCAAGCCTTAACCAGCTCAGGGATCACAGACTTGCCCAAAATTTTGCCATGACGGCTATTAAACATAGAAATAGGCTACCCAGGGAAATGGTAGAATGCCCTTCCTTGGAAATATGCAACACTATTGTCAGGACTCCTGGATAAGTTAATCAAAAGCCCTGCTTTGAACAGGAGATCTCCAGAAGTTCCTTTCAGCATAGACTTTTCAATGTATTCAGCAGTTGTGTGAAATTCTGGAAAGCTGTGTTGTATTTGTAATTTGATGTAGCTCCCTAGCCTCTTCAAAACCAACTCTTCCATCCATAAATAGGTCATCTTACAGGTACCCCATACTAAGCAAGTAGTTCCTAAAAAGTTCCTGTACAATTTTCCATTATTTCCCACCACTCAGAATGACAGTAACATCAACAGCGGGAAAAAATGAGAATCTACTGCCCTGGTAAATGGATGAGAATCAGCTTGTTCCTTACTGTATCTCCAGGATGCCTTTCCACCTTTTTATTGATGGAGGACTGAAAACCTCTGAGTAACAATTCTATTCTGGCATCTTGGGTTGAAGACTGACAGGTTGTCCTTAAAGACAGTAGGAGTGAGATGCTAGACCCATAGGATACATTGACACATCTGATGGGGTGTCTGGAAGCAGATAGTTATCTTATTCCTGGCAATTACCAAGTATTCTGATGTTAGACAAATTTACATTGAAATATATTTCTGAATTGTGACATTATTGCTGTAAAAATAGAGCCAAAACTCTTACAGGCAATAAGGATTAATCATGGAAAGCAGCCATGTGCCTAAAAATACAAGCAAACTCAAGCTACTTCACATCCTAAAGATTTCCCCAGAGGTTGTTGTAAGGCATTATTTAGAGTCTAAAGTAGAAATCAAAGGCAGAAAAGACTGAGTTGAACTCTCCAATGCAAATGGAAGCCTTGCCATGAACTGTCTGCAAACTAAAAATGATGGTAATCTCTGAGTGACTTTCAGGTAGCAGTATTTTTTCACATAATTAAAGATCCTTTTCCAATCTAAGTGATACTATCATTTTATAGTCCTAATTAGCAATTAATAATAATCACAATTTAGCAATTTTACCAAGAATATTTATTGAATGATGTACACACATGCATGGGCCTTTCCAGCAGATTGTATGAGGTTCACATGATTTGCTGCAGATTTAGCTTTAGGGTTTTGAATTTACTTGAGGTTAGATAAACAAAACTAAAAAATAATTGGAAAAATCTCATTGCAAATGATTCTTAAACTCTGAAACACCACTAATGCATCCACTATTAAGATTATCTGGGAAATCAAAGGGACATATATTCAACAACATTGTTTACAAGAATCAAGATACTGCAAAAATTTGCAAACTTGTCACCTCCACATTAAATTTGAAGAAAAAGTGTTACTGGAGAACCGCATTGAAATAGATGCTGTCACACAATTTAAATAGGAGAGGAGGTAAAAATACTTCAGCTACTGAAGAACATCACTGAGGGTTACAGTGGAGAGCATGAACTTCAGGGGTGGGCACGGAAATCAAAATACCTTCTCTGCTATTCTTTATTGAGAGGTTTGAGGGACGGAAGAGTACTCTTTGGAAAGCAAAAGCCATTTCACAATCAGTACACAGAACAGTTTGCACCTTGTCTTGGATTGCACAGTACACTCTAAACACCCGCAGGCCACACTGCTCTGGTGGTTTGTTCTTGAGTGATACTTCAGAAGAGGCTTCACTGCTGACTTCATCAGTTACAAAAGAGATGACTCAAAAAAGAGTCTTGATTTGATAAGTATCACTCACCAAGAAATAAGGCGTGTTTGAAGACATGATAGCATCACATGAGAGCATAAGTTTGCCAACAGTAATTGCTAGCACCATCTTAAGCTGCACAGCCTTGGGTATGCTGGGGGCCCAAGCTGCTGGCCAATGTTGCCTGCTGTGGATTCTCTCTAATAATCAAATCTTCTGTCTGGACCATTTCTAACTGAGCATGCTAAACCTGTGCTTTAATTAGATCTGAATGTTAAAATAAAAATAACCATCAAAACATAAGAAACAAGTGCTTGCCCAATCTAGTGGCCTTCTATGGTGGAATGTCTCCATCAGTGGACAAGAGAAGGGCTGCAGATGTCTTTTATGTGAACTTCTGTACAGCCTTTGACATGGTCCCTCACAACATCCTTCTCTCCGAATTGGAGAGAGATGGATCCAATTCCATACTGATAGATGGATAAGAAAGTGGTTTTATGGTAACATCCAGAGGTTAGTGGTCAATGGCTTGGAGTGCCAGGGACATCTGTGACAAGTGGTGTCCCTTGGATCCATATGATGATGAGTGTTATTTGATATCTTTAATAATGACATAGACAAAGGAATCGAGTGCACCCTCAGCAAATTAGCAGATGCCACCAAACTGAGTGGTGCTGGTGACACTTGTGAGGGATGGGATGCCATCCAGAGGCACCTGGACAAGCTGGAGAAGTGGCCCTTGGGAATCTGATGAGGTTTAACAAGGCCAAGTGCTGGTGCTGGGTAGTGCTGCACTGGGTAGGAACAACCTCACTATCAGCACTATCAGGCTGGGCATGAGCAGCCCCAGAGCAGCCATGCCCAGAAGGGCTTGGGGTGCTGTGGGTGAGAGGCTGCACATGGCCCAGCCATGGCACTCCCAGCCCAACAGAGAGCCAAACATGTCCTGGGCTGCACCCAGAGCCCCGTAGGCAGCAGGGCAGGGAGGGGATTCTGCCCCTCTGCTGTGCTCTCCTGAGACCCACCTGGAGCACTGCATCCAGCCCTGGGCTCCTCTGAACAGGAGGGACAGGGACCTGTCAGAGAGTCCAGGGGAAGCCACTGAGATGATCAGAGCACAGAGCACCTCTCCTGTGAGGAAAGGGTAAGAGAACTGGGATCGTTCAACCCGGAAAAGAGGCAGCATAGGAATGACCTCACTGCAGCCATCCCATATCTGAAGGGAGCCTACAAGAAAGGTGCAGAAGGCCTTTATACAAGAGCATGGACTGACTGGATGAGGGTGAACAGATAAAAAGAGAGTAGGTTTAGATTAGATGTTAAGAGGAAGTTTTCTGTAGTGAGGTGTTGGCACAACTTGCCCAGAGGAGTTGTGGATGCCCCATCCATGGAAGCATTTAAAGCCAGACTGGATGGAGCCCTGAGCAACCCTGTCTCATGAAAGGTGTCCCTTTGCTCAGCTTGCGAATGACAAATTTCTGATAGAGCAGCTCTTCAGTTTTTTTTCACATGACTATTTGATAGGGACCAGGCCTTCCTTCTCTGTGACAGCAGCTCTCTGCCCACAGACAGCAACAGACTACTTGCCCAGGTGTTTTCCTGGGGAAGGCTGTGAGAAGATCAGAGGAAGGAATGAGTAACAATTCTTATCTCCACTTGCTGCACCTGTTGTGCTTATGTGGAATGTGTTATGGAGATTTGTTTACCAAAAGGTGATTTCTTAACTGGACACTGGATAGTGTTTTGAAGGATTGACCAATTAGGTCAAAGCGGTGTTGGAGTGTCTGTAAGGGCTACGAGCTTCTTAACAAGTATAATATAATATAGTAGAATAAAGCTATTGATCAACCTTCTGCAATCATACAGTCAATGCTAATTATTACTCAGCTCTGGGCCTGGGGCAACAGTTCTCCTCCTAGAGATACTTGCAGTGAAAACACAAAAGCTGTATTTCCAAAGATTAGAAATAGGCAGTCTAGGAGACTTTAAATATTAAGAGGAGTACTTTCAGCACAAAATTGTTCAGCTTCAAGAAAAAATAGATTGAGATTAGGTATTTTCACACAGCATGCAACAGAAAAAAGGTACCTGAGCTTTACCTGCCTGCAAAAATATGCCTTCAGCTGCTTCAACAGGCACCTTTATTGTGTCACACATATCCAAAAGAAAGAGATAAATCATTGTTATTTGACTCCTCAAAATACAGCAAGAAGTAGGGTTTTTTTCATAGGATATCTGAGCAAGGTACGATTAGAAATATCCACACTGGATGTTTATGCTCTGTGTCAGAGAAACGAAGCAGTGGAGACAGCTGCAGAAGAAAAGGAACACTTACCTTCTGCTTTCCTGCCAAACTGAGGCAACTGTCTCCACATTGCATAGTATGGCTATAAGCTGCAGAATAACATGCATGGTTCTCATTTTGTAGGTGAGCAGGCTGGAATTATTGTGACTGAATTTGTAGTTTATTTATTTGGTCCTTTAGTTATTTATTAGCAAGAGAACAAACAAAAAGCAGTGTGTACTGAAGAATGCCAGTAACTGCCCAAAACTGCCTTACTGTAAGTGCTCTAAAGTCCACTTTTCAGAAAATTCCACTTTTTCCCTGAATGGGAAATACTGTGAAGCACTTGCAAGGTTAAAAATAAACCAATTTTGTTTAACAGTACCTTTTGAATATAGGAAAGATGTTATGTAAAGGAGCCATTAACTACCTAGTGAAAAAGTTGTAACTGTGACTCATGTAAAGAACAAATAGTTCCTAAAGGAGAGCTATTTACAAGAGCAAGTTCAGTGCATAACAGCTTTGGAATCCTCGTTTGGAGTACTGCAGGACTGAAGTCCCAAAATTCTTCTTTTATTCCTCCCCCAGCCAATATAAAAGAATGACAAAAATATTTTTGTGGATTTAAATGATACTAAAACTCTTTTAGCTTTCACTCTGTCAAAAAATCCAAACCACAAGCCAGCTCTTTAGAAGAGCATTCCTTTTCAGTGGTTTGCTGTAATCCAGATTTAAGGCATCACGTGTTGGACACAGTCACAAGTCACTCATAAATAACCTTCTGTTTAGCTGTTAAGAATTAAATATTTGGATACAATCTTAAAATAATAATCCAAGGTAAAGATTTTCCAAGTTACTATGGGTAATTGAAAAATACAATAGAAGCAGTTTTATTTTTCTCTATTCCTTGTTTTTTGTGGCAGGGTGAGGGAGGTAAGGCAGGCAAATTTGCCCCCTTGGTTTGGATTATTTCACTCAAGGAAATCTTCATCTGCTGCAGCCTCAGTCCAGTTTGATGAGTCCAGTTACAATAAACTAATTTGTTAGGCAAGAATGCAAGACACAGACATTTGTAATATTGTACTGTTTTATCAAAACTGCTATCACAGTTCATGGTTCTTTAAGACAGAGACTCGGAGTAAGCAGCTATTCTAAGTTTGCTAGCAGACCAGCAAGCATTTTTGGCCAGCTTGTCGGAGGTCCTGGTGAGCCGGATGCACAACATCCTGATGGCCATTTCAAAATCTGAACAGCAGTGATTTAAATCCCTAACTCAAATGCTGGTAAACATATTCCTTCATATTGGCATTAAGGCAGTCAACTATCCTTTTATTTTTAATACTAAGTTATATATTGCCAAGCAGTCAAGAAGATAAAGCAAAAAACAACAAACAAAACCACAAACTGAAAAAAGCCAATCAACCAACCAAAACCCCCCAAAACGAAACAAAAACACACCCAAAAAAAGCCCCATTGAGATTCTGTAAACCCTCTTAAGGCCTATATTTCAAGCTGGACAACAAATCCCTTGCAATGAGTTGTTTTTAACCCCTTAACCATCAAACAATATTAGAAATAAGAAGAAAAGCCTAAACCAGCAGCTTGCTAATGGATTTATTATTTTTTAATCTATCTCTGTTAAAGGAGTATATAATTTCTTCTGAACACAAGATGTTCTGAGATTTTCCAGCATCAGTTTAGATCTGCAAACCCAGAATATACAAGCTGAATTATTGAAACTTCTGAGTGCAATGCAATCTAAGTACTTAGCTCCCACAGTCCTGCAGAAAGAAGCAAGAAAGCATCTTTAGCAGCAAAAAGCTCAGGCTGAGCAGCCAAAGTTCTAGTGATGGTTTTTGCTAAATCAGTTTGAGATTTTTATATTTTAATATGGCACAACATTCGTTGAACAGGTCCTATGCAAGAAGTTACAGAAAGGCCCTTTGCCATCAGACAGCTGCAGAACTGTGAGGAATGATTCTCAGCAGACTTTACTTCTAATGTCAACTAGACCCCAAGACACTTACAGAGGACAAAATTAACAGCCACACTGATGTTCATTTGATATGAAGAGTTGCTTCTTTTTAATGCCATTAAGTAACAGGCACTACAGTTTTATATAATAACAGTGTAACATCAATAAGTTTCTACATTTCCAGTTTGAGACAAAAACTTAAATTCATGATTTTTTTTCAATTTTTATAAACATTTTTGCATTACAGAAAGTGCAAGAGAAGTTTGTATACAAGACTAATTGCATGACTGGCTGAATTGGGTACTAAGGCGGTATTCAAGTTGACTTTCTTAGCTCTCCAGTTTAGCAATGGCTTAGGCATTTGATTTAACAATAACATTTCAAGTTTATACTTAACATTAACAGAAAAACTTCTGACACATCAGTCATCACCACTGGCCAAGAATGTAGCTGTCACAGGCAGTTGTATCTGGTTCCAAAACCTGTTAGTAAAGAGGCTCTTGAGAAAAGGCAAGCTTTCCAAGAGATGATTTTTTTACCTCACATTAATGGCACAGAGGTGGTGCATCTGTTCACCAGGAGCCTAGGCATGGAGTGAAGCCTTTTGGTGTTTTTGTTTTCTAGCAGGCTGGAAATATCCCTCAGGACACCAAGTGACAAATCAAACTGAGCACATCAGGGACTCACAGAGATATAAGTAAGAACCCTACCTGCTTGTTTCATTTGTTTGCCAAGCCACCTTAACAGGAAAGTAATCCTAGTAGTTTTCCCTCCCTGAAAACTGCCATATTAGCACCAAGACAACAGTTAGTGTCCACAGCTACCTAAATGTTCTGCAAGAAGTTTTTCAGTTTACAGTGTAGGCCTCTAGTACTCAGGGCTTCAGCAGTGCTGTTACAGACTCCGCAGTCCCTTAATGACATTTATGGTGGAATGATGCCTTTACTTTTAGTTAAATAGGCCAGTATTAGATTATTTTCCTCTACGTATAGTTACATTTTTGTGGCTGAGAGACCAAGTAATCTGTCCAGTCACCAATTAGAACTCCATAGCATCCCCTTAACTTTACAACTGGCTGCTGCTGTCATCATGAGCAGATGACCTAGTTGTTTATGTTGCGGACTTTCAGCTACTAATTCTAGACCCTTATGCAAAGGCAACATCTCTCCCCGAGGAACATTAAGCTCCTCTATTTTGGGACAGTAAGTGCTATGTAAAGGGAAATGGTACAAGACACATTACTCTGTGCTACCAGCCTCTCTGTAAAGGAGTGCAAAGAACCAAAGTAAAGGTAACATCCACCAACTTAAATTTGGGTTTTCAGCGTGAGTCAATATCCCCATTTGCTTTGCCCTGAATTGTCTTCACAGCACATTCTTTGAGAGTCCATGCTTCAATCCACCTGGATAGAGTTTAGACTGCAGACATCATGAAACATCAGCAAGAATAGCAGACAGCAAAGTGAAACACATAGAAAAATCATGTTGAGAAGAGGTCCAGTTATTCCATTTGTCCTTTTCTGGTTATACCTGGTGTGATGGAAAGGAATTAGTGTTAGGATGGTTATGAGTTGTGCTTTATTGCTTAAACAGAGCCACTGAGAACAAAACTAAAGCAATAAATATCAACACTTGTTCTTCATCAGAAGCTAAACGGTATTTCAGGGGAAGACTGAAAGGTATAGCAGAAGATTTGCTGGATCAGTAGATCATGCTCTTCAGTCAATGGTATGAAACTTCAAATTACATTATTTTCTAGCAACAGAAGTGCTTGTAACAGCTTTTGATTAAAAATCAGAATAAGAGTCTAGTAGCCTTACTCTAGTTTTATTCCAATTTACTCAGAGTCCAAAACGGCCATTGTTGAGGTGATTAAACTTCAGAAAGCTGTATGCTGTATAAAGGGCATTCTATGCTAACATTCCCCACAGATATCTGAAAGTATTAAAGTCAGCTCCTCTGAGATCTGCAGCATGTATACAGTCATTAATTTTCCCTCCAGGAAAGGAAATCTAGATCTACTGTGGACTTGGGATTTAAATCTGCGGAAGAATAAAGTCTTTATTTCTAACAAAGCAAAGCTGGCTAGGCTTAGACAGACTACAGCTATGTGCAAATCTGATAGAGGTACTTTAGTAGAAGTTCCTCTAAGCACTGTTTGCCATATTTCAAAGAGCATCAGTGAGAAGCTACTGCAGTTTTTGGATATCTCTTTGCCAAATATTTCCTCAATAAATTTCAGAGGATGAAGTAGGTTGGCTTGTTAGGGGAAGACTCACCTGATCTATGCAAATGGGTTGCCAAATTGATCACCAAAAGGACCAGAAGGTGGATTCTGAGATTCCTTCTACAGAACGAGAGATAAGCTGTTAGTGGATTTCCAGTTTTCACCAGATTTACATTGCATGAGCTCTATGAGCTTACACTGCAGGCTCTATGAGCTATTTCCTGTTCAAACACCTGAAAAGAATACTTCATAGCTCCAGCTAAACACACATTTACTGTAGTGCATCAACAAAAGAAGGGGGCTCTAAGCCATGTTAGCTTTTGTGCTAGTCCAAGGCAAGGACTTTTTTTCAGAAAACTGTTTGCTACTGAACACTCCTTTGGAGCCAGTGAAGTCATGAGACATCTTTTAGTCAAATGCTAGAAGTCTTAAGTCAGCACTCTGGTATTGGTCCAGAATTTTCACTGAGGGCTTTAAGTGCTCTGTCTCAATTAGAGTGATCTGGTGAAGCCACTTTCTCCCCTACAGAGCCCTGAACATGGAACCTTTTATTTGTTCAGCTAGAGAGCTTCACAATCCACATGGCTTAGTCTGCTCTAAAGAGGGTTATATATAACCAAAGTGGAGTATTTCTGCAGCTACATTGTGATACTCTTTTGTAGAGTGTCCCAATACTACAGAACTTTGCACCATGGGCAAGTGGTTGTGGTGCCAAGCCAACTGGAATAATGCTTTAACCTTCTTACAACAGATACCCTCTGCTAGATCACATATTAGCCTCAAAGATGCAAGTTTTTTGTTGTATGGCCTCTAAAGCCAGAACTAAACTAGTGCTCAAACATAGGCAACGCAGTTATTAAGGAGAAAAAAAGGGTTTTGATTGCTTTTTTTGTGGTGATGATGTCATTTGGGCATTTTGGTGTTAAGGTGTTTGTTTGTTTGTAGTTTGTTTTTTTGTTTCTTTTGTTGGGTTTCTTTACTACTTACAGATGAGGCACCGAAAGGATCTGTTTTATCTTGACTTTCAAACAGGCCTTCAGCTGGCAACACACTTTGTCGAGGAACAGGCTTTGGTGGTTCTAAAAAGGAGAGACATACTGCTATAATTACTTGACAGATTTAGCAACCACTCAGTTCTGCTTGTATAGCAACACCACAGCTCATCTAATTAGAAACACAAAAAAATTAACTGGAATTTTCTTAGAGTGACTTTGAGTCACAATATTAACTCCTGCTTGTCCCTGACTAAGCTTAAAACAGATGGAAATTCTATCAATGTACAAAATTAGGTTTACCTGGGTCTAGTCAAATAATTTAGGCACTAGGTGTCAGTGTTCAGCCATGCTGCTGCTAAGTCTTCGATTTTTCTAGTTGAGCTAGCCCTTCAACCCTCTGTTTCAGTAACCATTAACTCCAAAATGTAACCAGTCATTTTGGCAGACAGCTTGCTAGCTGCCATTTCATCATGATCTGTACTATCTTTAGAAATGCCTACTTTACTACTACAGTAACTGCTGAGAACTCCAGGAGCACCTGAAAGGCTTTGCTGTTCTCCTCTCCTTGCTGGTACTGCAGGCGGCTTTGTCAGATGGAAGTCTTTGAACATTTCCTTGACATCCTTCATTTCTTTATCCCCAAGTGGATCCAGAGCAATGAACGCATCACTCTCTTTCTTAGACAGCTCCTTTTGCAGCGTAGTTCTGGGTGGTGGCTGGGGTGGGCTAGCTGCTGTTGACATGGAGGGCAGCGCTGAGGCTGTCTGGGCTGGGAGCGCTGAGGATGTGAACATGCTGCTCTGGAACTGTGCCCAGGAACTGGGTGCAACTTGTGCTGGCTGTGACCAGAGACCAGAAGACTGAGTGGGTGCAGCACCAAAAGATGAAGACTGGTTCCAGCCTGACACTGCCTGAGTACCTAAGGCAAGTGGCTGAGTAAATCCTGGAGACTGAACAGACACCATTGACGCATGAAAGATTGATGTGGCCTGAGTGAAGGAAATTTCCTGTGGGGTCCATGGTGTTGAAGTTAATTGCAAGCCACCTGTGGGGGAGATTGTTGTTACACAGCACTTCAGTCATCTGAAGATCACAAGCAGGAGTGTATCAATTCCATAAACGGTACCAGCAAAAGATTTTCATGTACTGTCTGCAAAAATCTCTTGATTTGCACTTACAAATCAAATCATTTGGGAGAAAGACAGTGGGAGAAAGGGTTTAAATTTTTACTTTGCTGCATTTCAGTGCTGCAAGGACATAATTGAAGTTGTTTTAAGGGAAGGATGAACACAGTTCTAGCACAGAAGTGACAGGTGGATTTGCCATACAGCTGTTTCTGTTTAAATGATTATTAACATACTGTGCAGCAATATTACCCTGACCTCTCAAGTTGTGCTTGGCTCACTTGAGCCTTGTGTACTTGAAGCAGGAATCTGCTGTCAAAGTTAAAGCAGTTAACTGCTTTAATCCTGATTCAGTTGAGGATGCAGAGTTTAGGATTTGCAGAACTTAATAGTTTAGGGCAAATAGCACATGGGTTAAAGGGTATAGCACCTACACAAGAAGTAAAGGAAGACTAGAATCCATGTTTGGTGCTAGCAGATATCTTGGAGTAGAACAAAACATTTACTTTTGTAAACTAACCTATAGCACCCAATGGAGATGCTGTGGTAGAGCTGTTTCTGAAGAGGTCCAGTGGGTTAGTTGACGAAGCTGCTGGCTGTGCCCCTGAGCTCGGGCTCTCTGTAGATGGCACAAAGAAGTCTGAGCTGAACAAGTCATCCGATGTAGCCTAGAAAGAAAAAGAAAGTGAGATGCCATGGCAGAACACATGCTAGCACAACCAGGGCTCCCTAGTCCAGAGTCCAAAGGAGACTTTTTTCATCTAAAGAAGAGGAGGGAGTTTTGATGTAGCATTTAGAGTATAGGAGCTTCAAACATCACCCTTTTGTTCATGCCTATGGATATACACTGCATAAAATAGGTAAAAGATGTAGTAGTCACAAGCCAACAGTGGAACAGCAGGACTTAAAATGGGTGAATTATTTGCTACAAGTGAGCTTCCCTCCGCACCCTACCCCTTTTAACTCTACTACTTAGTCTGCAGAAACCCCTGTGGTTGTGGCAAGGCCAGGAGTTTTGCATAATTTGAGTACAAGACAAATGAAGGTGATCCAGGGCCACACTCTGCCTAATCAGGCAAGTTAATTTCATTCAGTAGGCAAATACTGAGAAACCACATGGGCTTTGGTAAGCTAGTACTAATACCTTATTGTCATGAGACCCTAGGTTGATGGGCATACTGCTATCATAAAAGGTTATACTGCTATCATAACAGATTCTGGCGTGGTATCAAGTGTTAATATGCATAGCAGCTTACTTACCAGACCTTTACAGGAATATGGCAGCATTAAAGAAGAGAGTATAGAATTTAGTGACCATAGCTACTATGAAGCATTCATCCATAGATATTAGAAGGTACTTTGGCTGCAGAGAGGTTAGTGTGAGCATGGCAGGCAGAAGCAGACATGTTGTGAAGCTAGGTAGCCAGTTATACAGTAATAAGAAAGAAAGGCTGCCTTCACCCAGCTTCTCCAAATAAAATCATGCATATCACCATAAATTACTTGAACACTGTTCACCTTGACAGATCTCCTTCCTCTTCCTGGTTTGGTACTCTGTGGTGGTGGACTAATTGTTATAGGCTCACGTGGCATGAGCTGGATATTGTTTTCAGAATCCAGTTTTACTCCATTCTGCAGAGATGTTCCTTTGGAAGCACCTTCCAGAAACAGGTTTGTTGGGGCTTCAGGAAAGCCATTCCTTTCTCTCTCTGGTATCACATTGGGAATTCCTGCTGCAGATGACTTACTCACAGGTGGCCACAGGCATGTTAGTGCTTCTCGTTTGCCAGTTCTATTAGAAATCTGGTCAAACTGTTTATCAAAGTAGTCAACATCACCATTTGGATCACCATTACCCCCTGATGTCAAGGTAGTTGGACTTTTCTTCTGATCAGATTTTAGAGAATCAAATGAAGGTTGTGCAGATTGGGCTGGCTGTGTGAAAGGATCATCACTGAAAGGGTCTGGATTAGGTGTAGGAAAGAAGCTGAGATTGGTAGAGAAAGAACTCTCAGGCAAGAAGGGTGGCTGTGCCTTTGGTTGTGGAAGAGAGGCTGTGATGCCATTCAAGAAGAGATCCTCTTTTGCAAAGGTTTGTTTGGTCTCAATTTCAGAATTAAAATCCACTAACAGAATCTCTTTAGCTTCCTATTTTTTCAGAGAGAAAAATGAAATTAGTTATATATAGATTTTGCTGCACAGTGAAAAAAATCAAGGAAAATAGCTGCAGAAGAAGAGATCCTAGTATCCAAAACATTATACAGGTAAATATTCAAAATCACACAGGAAAGCACTGGTGTTTATAGTTAAATTACAGCTATTTGGTCCCTGAAACCCAATACTGAAACATCTCCTTTTCAGATCCCCTAGTTAAATATCAGATACTTATTCTTCAACCTAGTGACTGTAGAGTGAGTAGGAATTACACCTAGGCTTACTCTTGAGTCACAGACCCCTGCTTGAGTTCCAATCCTTCGTTCTGACAAGTTGTGAAATCACACTGCCTTGGTTTGACTTCAAATTGCAGTCTCAGCTTCAGAATGACACTGTAGAATTAGTGGAACGTAACATGCTAATTCTCCACCAAGCATGCACAAGAAGGGTGAGACTTGGTCACTGGCTGGGTTGACAGCACCAACTGCATCCTGCTGATGGTGGCTTACAGTGCTAGGTGTAACATGATGGTTTTTTGGGGTCTCTGAGCTATGATAAGGCTTATGCACTCTTTTGTGCAATTAGGCCAAGTTTTGAGCTGGAACGATATTAGTAGAATTAAGTACTAGAATGACATCTAGTGGCTAAGTGAATACTTTTATGGCCCTACCCCACTAGCACAGTGATGATTGCTAGGCAGATGTCTCAGTAAAACCAGTACTAGGACTAAACCTGCTTTCAAAGAAAAAGCCAAGATAAGTAAGCTAGACTCTACTTACTGTGGGAGTGCTCATATCAGGTGGTGTTGACATATCCCCAAACAAGTCCATCTGGTCAACTCCCTTGAAACCAGAAATATTGAAAGAATTGGCATCTGTTAGAGCTCTCACAAGAAAAACAATCAAGTATAATGTAGATATACTGTAAAATCTGCAGTAAACACTATAAACTCTGCATTTCCTACACAATATGGGGACAGTCAATTTTGAAATCTTTAATGCCATCAACAAAAAGTTTTGAAATTTAACCTACCGGTTTCATTTTATCAGCTTGATCAGCAGGCAGTTCTTCACCATCATTCTGTAATAAATGTATAACAGTGTCAGAAATAATTGGAATTTCAAAATTTGCTTTAAGCAAGGAACTTGTGGGCTTTAAAAAGCAAGTGACAGGGAAGGGAAGCATGAGACAGATTACTACTCAGTATTAGATCCACAGATGCCTTTCACTTCCATTTCAATGTAATTTGGCATCTGACATTGCCTTCATAATGATGGCAGCATAGAGAAAGTAAAAGTTAGATGTGGTGCAGCAGCATACCTAATCAACAGAGGCTGAGCAGGAGTGACCTACCTCAGTCTTACATCACTCTAAAGAAAAAATCAGACTTTTAATACTTAAACATCATGTAGAATATCAAAAGTCTCTCACTTTAGAGAAGCTCACCAGACCTAGGCAGTCAGACACCTGGCACAACTGCCAACCAATAGCTTCCAGTGTTTCTGGATTTAGGCACAGCTTAGTATCAAGTCTTACAAGAGCCCAAAAGTCAGCCAAAATTGAAACAAGCTTTATGCAGACTCATGCAGTTTCTAGATTTTTACTCACCTTTTTCTTTTCTTCTTCTTCCTTCTTCTTCATATTATAAATTAGTTGGAAGAGGTCCTTAAGATCAGAAACCAGAGGCTCAGCCTGGAAAAGAATGTAGATTTCAGGCCATGTATTACTTTTACTTGGACTTCTACTGCTGCAATCAGTGCAACAAGCCAAACTTCCCTAAATGGTGCAAGACTTAGGTTGAGATAACAGGAAAATCAGGAGTTTAAAGACCTGTTTAGTCTTCATACAAGATTCTGCTTATGCATAATCCCAGAGGAACGGAACACAAACAGTGTAGAACTGTTGTTAACTCTACAAAAGTGGCTGTACATGAATTTGTGCTAACCTGCTATGTTTTTGCTAAAAAGCTGATAGCAGTACTTCTTAAGTGCATGGCAAGTCCTAGAATTGCAAAATTTATCCAAGCCTTCTGGTCATCTCCAGAGAGGAAGAATATTTTGCATTTGTCTATTTGCTACCAATTGAATGTGGAGAAAACTTGTATATATAATACTACTTTTATTTTAAACAGTGTAAAAATAGCAAAGGAGCAAGGCAAGCATAAAGTAAGATTATCATCACCTCAAATGTGTAAAGCTTTAGAGACCAGCTTTAAATGGTATCTGTGACATGATGACAGTTTAATGTGAATTAGAAAGGCACTGCATGCCTGGCACATCCATTAACAAGAATGTTGTTGTTGAGATGGTGGTGAGTTTAGCTGCACTGCTTTGGAACGCTTGTCAGTGCCTGGACTAGGACACCTTCCCATCTTCAGCCACTACCATTGGCACAAGCAGAGAATCCTTTGTACAGATCTCACTGCTTTCACCTGAGCACTGTCCTCTCCTAATCAAGGAGTATAAGACATGCAGCTGTGGGAAGAGCCATTGCAAGAATCATCAGCTTTAACAAGGAGTAACAGCTGCAGCAGGCTAGAGCTGCAGAAGCCTTACTTAGAAACAAATTACTTACTTCCTTACTTACAAATTTATGACAAAAACACACAGCAGCAAGTCAAGAGCTGTCTAAGGCCTGGCTGGGCTTAGAGGCTGGCAAGCAGCACCCCATGGTGAAATGAAGGAACAGACTCCAGAGCGCATACAAAAGGCTTTTGTGCTTAACCTACAATTCCACTGAAATCAATACAATTATTGGTCAGAATGCTGACAAATTAATAAAAAAGACTTAAAAGAAGGCCTAACTGTTAATTACTGAAGTACTAACATGCTCCAACAAGGAGCTCCTCAGTGGAGGACCTGTAGTGGGTCTAAAGCTGCCAGCAGGTTCTCCAGGAGGGCAGGTAGGAATGGGTAAAAAAAAATCTAGCTTTGAAGTCTGGGCTCATCAAGTCATTATAGTGATTATTATAAAATCATTCTAAAGACAAGCTGATAAATAAAAAATACCTAACTTCGGGTTGTTTATGAAGCTGCATAATTCTTAGTGGTATTTTTAAGTAGCTTTTTCCAGAATCCAGTATTGAGATTCCCCTCAGAGAGACTAACCTTGCACACAGGATTTCTGCATGTGAGGAACTTATCACAGAAGGATCAGAATCCCTCCCAACAAGTTCAGGTTAGGAGGTCCTAGGAGGGCCAGATCTGTCATTTACAGGCCCCAGAATCATTGTTGCAATTGAGTAAGTGATTTCCTTGCTGCACAAGGCAAAGCATCATGTGAATAGACTAACTAGTTCTATATTTCTGTTAGTTCAGAATGAAGCTCTGGCTATTTTGCTTAAGAATTAGTACTTTCACAGTGGGAAGCCTGTGCTAATGGCGCTGTTCATCTCACTAATGACTTTCATAGACAAGTTAAGCATTGTTGATCATAGTAACCAAGACTACTTGAGGGATTTTATTCTGGACTACAAAGAAACTGTACAAGACAGAAGCCAGTGGGGACACTGTCAATTTCTATTGTCTTGCTTTCAGTAAAATCTGTCCATGCATGGTGGTATTCTCCAGAGGAATTTTGTAGTATTACCACAAAACACTAGACCTTTATCACATGTTAAATATTTACACAACAACATTATCCATAGCACATGAAAGAAAGTGTCTGATTCATACCTGCTGGGCTGTTTTTATGGCAAAAAATTGGTGCTGGCCTTCTCCTCCACATATATAGCCAAAGGCACGATTGTCTGTTACATCCCGAGCAATAAAGGAGATTTTGTTTACTGGATGCTCATGTTCTATGACCTGGAATTGGGAAAAAAGCAAAAAATATTGGTTTAAATTTCTGGAAATATAATAGCTGCTATTCTCTGTGGTGAGAATGATTGTGAAAAATCTTCAGTCCAAACCTCAGACTCATCAACCTTTTATTAATCACAACAGGACACAGCTGTCTTTCTGACAGGACGCTTCAGCATTACAAACATTTCACAAGCCAATTTTTATATGTGGAAGTGAGTTATAGTGTCCAAATAAGAATCTAGTTCATATTGGTCTAACTTCCAGGTGCCTCACTAGCTTTAAGAATCACATTAAGAAAATAAGTTATATCTTACCCCAGTTTTTTCATCTATTATCTTGATACCAGAGAGGGAGATGTTTACCCAGATCTTCTGTTTGTGTTGGCCCTGGGAACGGGCTGCTGCTGCCATTCCCTGAAAAGAATGAATGCCAAAGTATCCATGAGACTTCTGTTGGATTGAGCTTTAGCTTGTTCTTTGTAATATATGACTGCTTAGGTGTAAAGTGATACCACTGATCCAGATGGTTTCCTCTGTAAATGTTTTAGAGCTTTAAAACAGATTTTAGTTCACAAAATTGCTGCAGTAGCAGCATCTTTACTTGCTTTTCCAGTCTAATTGAAGGTATGTAAGTGTTTTGCACTACAGAAGCAATGGTCTTTGTTGCTGCAGAAACATTAATTAATTAATTAAAAAATTAATTTATTTTTTAATTTTTCTGTATCTCTCAGTGTCACCATTGACACAGGATGCCAACTTGTGCTTTGAGGTCAGTGTTCAATTTCACAGCAATCCCCCCTTCCCCTCCAAAACTCACGCTCATAATTTGTGATGAAATTCATACTGCCATCATTCATACTGGATGCCTACAGACCAAAAGGAATGTTCCCAGACTTTCAGAGAAATGTCCTTTGAGCCAGAGGTTACAGTACAGGAAGCAACATCCATCTAGATGGTGCTGTTAGTAACTACGTTACCATTAAGCTGTATCTGAAGTTCTGCCAAAGTGACTGATTTGCTTTGTGAATGCTAACCAGAGATTGTTCCTTACGTGACAGATCAAGCCCTTACCTTCAGCTTCATCATTGAATCCTGACTCATTTTGTCTCCTCTTGCCTCAGGAACATCATCTATGCCAATCAGTTTAGCCTTGTATTTTACACCATCACCTTTGAATCTAGCCAAGAGAGATTCATCTGTTTTTTCTGGCCCTGGAGAAAGAGAAAAGGTTTGGTGGGTCTGTTTGTTTTTTTGAGGTTATTTTTACATTTGGGTGGATTGTTTATTTTATTTTTGTTTGGTTGGTTTTGGTTTTGTTTGTTTTTTGTTTTTTTTTTAATGATAGAAACAGCTATGTTGAGATTAATGATCTTAAAAAAAATATACACCAAATAAGTATATACCAAATAAATGTTAGAACTGTCTCTTGAGTACAGCTGACTAACAATCTGTTTGCAGTGCAAGACAGGTACTCCTTTAAGGTCACAGTACTCTTGCAGAATGTGGCCTCGGTTCGAAGAGTGGAGCCCAATGCTAATGTCTGGGGGCTTCATAACAATTGTTCACCACATAAAAGACTAAAATGTGGATAAGCAACAGTCAAGTAGATAAAGGAGCTAAGAATTAATGACACCATGCAGAAATGGTACTTCCCATGCCCATACAGGATGTTCAGTAAGGTCTTTAGGTGTTATCCCCCTGTTCTGATGTAGGCAGATCTCTTCTTGCTGTGCAAAAAGAATCTCCCAGTTTGCATTTAAGAACCTGATATCAGCACCATCATACAATGAGTCCTGGTACTTTGGTTATAAGCATTTGGGATTTTAGCTAAATTTGTTCTTTCTGCTGGTCCTGCTACTAGGAACTGCTTGCTTTTCTTCTCTGCATGCTCAACATTGCTCAAGTATGTACTTAGGTATGCATTTTTATATGAGGTAATTATATTTACGTGATCTAATCTATCAAAAAATCTGTTATCTGATATACGATAATTCTCTTGGAATGAGTTTTCTAGCTTCTCTGGACTAGAATTTGTATTCAGTACAAATCTCCTTTCTGGAGGCTCGGGAGGAGTCAGGTTAAAGTTCAGACTAACAGTTATCACAGTGCTCCAGGGTCTGGTCACCTCCTCAGAAGAATCTCTCTTCTCCAGGCTCTTGCTTACTTGTCAGGCTCAGCAAATCACTCACTTAACAGTGGAATAGAGCTTTAGAACTTCAGGCTAGAAAAAAAGCTTTTAAAATGAAAAGCCTACCTTCTGGTTAAGTTTATTATACTGGCATATTTACTCACTCTTCTGGTCAGGTGGTAAACTCAGAGTTACTTCAGCAGTAGTGAGGGTGGGTGATATTAGTGTTGTCAAATGCAAAAAATGAAGGACACAGAATAGAACAGGTCTTCATGTGGTAAGCATTTCTTACCTTTCTTTTTTTCCTTCTTTGAAGATTGTGCCTTTGGTGGAGCCTGTTGTTCAGGCTGGCTGTTGGTAGCAGTAGTTTCAGCTTCAGTAGACATGATGGGACTGTGGCCAGTTATGTTCACTGTAGGCTTAAAAACCCAAATAAGAGTTAGAAGACAGAAATAATATTTTACCTTGAGGAAGAAATACTTCTATTAGAGCTTTTAGTCCACCTGAAGTTCTGCTGCACACTGATGCCTGACAAAGCCTGAAAGCATAAGGAGTGATCATAGGGCAGGTCTGACTCTGATCACACAGAGCATGAAGTCACCGCCAGGAGGTGATGAACTCTCACCTCAGTAATAGCCAAGCAGTAGGGCACACTGATCTACACCAATGGGCTGTACTTGCACCTACATGTTTTAATCCGTCAATCTTTAGCTTTTTTTACCTTTTAAGGCTATTTATAGAACCTCAGGTATTTTGGTTTATTCTTCTTCAGCACTGCCAGCTGCATCTCTAAAGTAGCGTAGGAGAGAATGCAAGAAACATTTGCTAGGAATCTGTTCCAAACCATTATGAGGATGACACCAAAACACCCAAAAGATGCCAGTAGATATTGTTCATGTTTTTATAACCAGCAAAGTCAGAGGTTATACCACCCAACAGGTAAAACTAAATAATTTCCTCAGGCTGCAGACAGACTGTTCCAGTAAAAACACAACAGAACTTCAAGCCAAACCCCCCACATCCTTGTCTTAGCAGTAATCAAGTAGCCTGCAGATTTTCAAAAACCCTGCAAATTGACAAGAAACTATGGACTTCTACAACTTACCTCTATGCCATGTGACCCTTTTGCCCCTGAGACACAAATAAAAAAAATAATTTACAGTCACCATGTTTTGTTCCAACACGGCTGAAGCACTCAGTCTCACCATACAGAGGTACTCAGAGCAGCTTTATGGAGTTATGAAGATCTAAACCAAGCCAGAAAGAATATCCACATCTGCTAACATTCTATCAGTCTTCTGTCTGGGATATTGCAACGGCTGCAGTTAGTCCCTCGAATTTTAGGATAACAAATGAAGTCAAGAAATTGTTTACATGATAACTAATAATATTTAAATAATTGGGATCCTTTTTAATACACCCTACATCCAGGCAAGCTGCTATAAATCAAGCCATCCCTTTTATCTAGCATTTGAGACACAATTTGTATGTAGATACAAGTACTGAAGCAATGCATAGCCTCTTGCATTAGAAGTTTGTTAGTCTCAATAGTCAATTCCTCATTTGTCTTAGTAATATTTGATGCTTTAACGCATTACTTGAAATGTACTTTCAGGGTTTTGCTCTCACTCCTGTCTTCCCTTCCTCCAATTTACTGCTAACTAGACTGACTCAACCAGCTTGCCACTAACTGAATAATGGCTATAAATTCTTAATTGACTCCTAACCCAGGAAGAACACAAATTCCTAGGTTCTAAAGAGAATTTCACTCTGAAAGCCTCCATTTTCATTTAACCAGGAGGAAGGCCTTTTGGGAACTAGCTAATCTAAGCAAAACTAGACCTAGCTTCTCACCAGATGGCTTGTAAACTGCATTTAGCATTGGTCAAGTAAATCAACAGAGATAAGGGTGCTCAGATGGGAAAGAACTGTCAGCTATACCTGTTCTCCTCTGTAAGCAACTTATGTGGCCACAGTCAGGGAACATTTGATGCAAGGGAACAAAGGTGTTGCTGTGAAAGTTTCAAGTGGTACCAAGTAGAAATTCATGTTAGAGGAGGAGTTTGTTTAGCAAGCCATGGTTATTTAAGAAATGTTATCACTGAAAGAGTGGCTTGCATGTCCATTCTGACAAAGGGTCAAGGGGACAACTATTAAGCCCACAGGGATTTTGCAGAATACTTGCAACAATGCTGAAACAGATTGTGCCTATTGAAATCCACATTTTAATCAGATAAAATGAAGTCAACTGAATTATTCTTTCAGAGTAACTAAGCTACTTAGTTACTCTGAAAGAAGAGTTTCTATCAGCTTCTTTGCCTGATAGTATAGTTTTGGGTAGAGCTATCTTTTAGACATAAGCATAAGGAATTCCTCCCTAGATTTATCAGGTCCTTCAGAAATAAAGGAAGGAAGAGAGTTAAGGTAGGATCATTAATTAAACATCCACTCCTGTGTGGAAGATTACTGTTGAGAGAATAGAAGGAAAAGGCCCAGAAGAGAGAAATAAGATGTGCTCTCAAGAAGCTGAGTTATAACTTTAGGACATTCTGCCTAGCTCCATTCTGGAAAGAAGAAATAAGAACCTCAAGGCACTGAATCCTGCCTGTCAGTGATCTTTCTTCCTCTAATTAGCAGAGCTACACCCAGCTGTATTGGAATACAACTTGCATCACATGTTGAAGTAAAATTAAGAGGCAATACAAAAGAAATAACTTAAAAAGGAGAAAATATGCACAAGCAAGATCTCACTTTGACAACTGTAAACTGGTCTATGTCTACATGTGCAGCTGCCATCTTTGCATTCCAGGCATGTCTGATCATCACTGCCATCTGCCTCCATGATTTCCTTTGTGAAGAAATCAGACCACAGATTTTTATAGAACCAGACAGTAAAAAAACCCACAGTGAATGAAGATGGGTAGGGATACACACAAGTGTGGCTGAGCCTTTGCAAATACCCTGTCTTACTATGGGAAAGTTCATTTTTAGTGTTGGCAATACAATTTTAGATTAGTGAGGGCCTTCTGGCTACTTTACAAAACCTACTCTCACATCTGAGATCTGCCAAAACTTATGTTTCCTAGTGAGATTTTGCAGTACATGATGGTCATTTATCATACCTTTGGAGAACTTGGTGTCTTTGAAAATCACCTCAGAAACCACAGAATTAGTGAAATTAAAACACAATGATAGACAAAGGCAAGCTTAATACGTGTTCATATTTTAAATAACTAATTCTTGATACCTGAGTTAAGCCACATGTCCAGTACTAAATTGTCTCTGTCTTCACCTTAAAATTTCCCTGAGGTGGTGAGGAACATGTAGCTTGAGCTAGAAGTAATCTATTCTGCTCACTATAAAAAAGCCTCAACCAGAAGTAAATACAATTTCTGGGCTTTACACTCAAGATAAAGCTAGCCAAGGTCTTCATCACACTTAAGTTTGTGTTATCTTAGTGGAAAGTGCTGGTGTGCTTAACATGCAAGTAACTAAAATTAAGTCAAAATCTTCCATTTGTTTCTTGGGGGCTTCCTTTCACAGTACTCAGCCTCTTGGTAGATTTTCCTTGCTCCAGCTGCAGGTAGAAGGCAACAAGAGTAGAATTGTTTTCTTACACATTAATTTTGAAGCCATCTCAAAAGAGTCAGCCAGCAAATGTGGCAAGGTTAGAGATGCATGTGCTTGTATGCAAGAGTGAAAGGACAGCTGAGCTTTCAGATATGCTGGCATAGTAAAGAATAAGGTCATTGCCCCAACAACTATGTCAGCACTTACTTTAAAGCAGTTTGGATCTCATCCATGTCGATGAGTCCATTGGTATCACCACACCTTAATTACTCACTAATCAGTTGTATGGCCCCTCTTCATTGCTATGCTAAATGTGCAGTTTCAAAATTCCAAAGAGTACAGATTTACAGATGCTGCCACCTTGGGAGAAGTCTACCAAACTCTACCTGTATCACCACATTCATATCATACACATTTTTCTCACCCACTTTTCAATTTACTCCAGACAGGGCTTGCAAAGAGACCACTAGCAGTATCTTCCTCCTCTCCTTCAGGGACTGTCCTGTGGAGAGCAGATAGATACTGATGACTCCTCAGACAAACTCCATGTCAGGCCCTCAACACACAGTGCTTGATGTACGACCTGCTACCTGCTGAATCAAGTCAGACTACTCTCCATTCAAGACTTGTACTTCATTTCTACACAGTTACCTTAGGAAAGTCAGTCTTATAACTTCTGGTACACTGCACTTTGGTGTCTTTGAACTTTGCAGAGAGGGCTGTCAGTAATGACAAGTCATCCCTGAAATACCTGTTTTTTAGCAAGACTTGGGAGAACATGCCAAACAATTTTTGTTGAGAAACATTTAGCTTCCCTTAGAGATGCTTTTACAGATATCTTTTATTTGAGAAAGGGGTGGAGACACAATAGATACCCTTAATGACTATGTTTTTGTCCTGTGGACAAGTGAATTGAGTATCTTCATTATGGCTGTAATTTTTCATAGAATTAAGGACAAAAGAGAACCCTCACCAACAGACAGGTTTTTCCCCTCTCAGCAGACAAATATAAATGTCTCAAAGTTGATGAGACATTATCTAAGAGGTTAGGGACATCCAAAAATTCAGAGGTAGATAAGATAAACATCTGCTCAGCAGCCCAATAGTTTGTCCTCTTCACACCCTGTGCTCCTTCTTTGTCCCTACAAGTACATGATTCAGCTTAAAGAGTAATTGCATGTAAATATTAACCTTGAATTAGAATCTGTAAGGCTGGGAGAGGACAAGAGAAGCTTTTACTGCTGAGTGAAATACTATTAGGATGAACTAGTAACAGGAAGCACAGCAACAGCTCAACTGCTGAACATGCTTCTGGGGCAGGTTGTTTCCTCCCCCACCATTCTTGAAGGATTACTCAGGTTCTTCTGGTTAGAAGGCTGTGCTAGTGAATTCAAGATTTTATTTTTCAAGCTAAGAAAATAGGCTAAAGGCTGAACAGCAATTCACACAGTGACTGGAAAGAGTCAAAGTTGTAAAGCCAGACAGTCTGTTTTCAGTAAATCATCCTGACTGGCAGCCTTCTGCTCACATCAGGAGTATAACAGCAGATTTGGGTGAGCCCCTGTAGGGCTGACTGACATTTACATCTAACAACTCCCCATCTGATTATCTATTTTCTACTTAGTTCCTGTCCTGCTTCAATGGTAGTAGCCTTGAGAATCCCTAGGCATGCATTAATAAATCAAAAACATAAAAGTACTGATCAGACTTTTGCTTTTTAAACAGGATCACTCATGCTGAGGAGTCAAATAAAATATAATCTTAAATGCTTTCTTTCATTGCTAGAACACCCATTGCTATGGTATCTCGCAGTTTCTAAAGAGTTCAAGTTGAATAAACCTTCTGTAACATGACACAAGAGATTACAATGATTTAGATGGAACATTCTAGATGCTTGTTCTGATTCAAGCATTAACATTAGCCTGTTTTCTCTATTAAAACAATTCTGTTATGAACTCACATATCCAGCAACTAATATCCATGAGAAGTAACTGTCTTACCTACAGGTAGTTATATCTGATGTGTTCACACTTACACATGACTAATACCTGCATGAAGACAAGTAGTAGAAGAAAGTTCACAGATGGCTTGGGAACTATTCACCTGCAGTTTTAGCAATGTCTGGAATGCAAGAGCAGTATTACTTGTCAGAAAGATGACTGAATACATACTTTTATACTGCAGAGCATAACCAAAGGTCCCATGGTTTGTCTTGTAAGAGAGAGGGGAAAAAAGGATATTAAACAACATTGCCTGGCAAGTGCAGCTGATTGTCACTCCCACAATTCAGTAAGGCTTACATTAGCAATGCACCCATCATTCGGTTCAAAAATCCTGTTGAACTGTCCTGCTTAGGCTGTAGATTGGTAGAAATGTGATTTTTGTTCAAGAGATCATTTGTTTGATATTGTGACTTTAGTTAAACCAGGCACTTACCTGTTGGACTAAGTATTTCTAGAATAACGGGATTTTACTTTAGGGAACTTCCAGAGTGCAACTTGCTTTTCAAGCCCTCTTTGATGTTTTGTCTTCTTACCCAAGAGGTGGACTGGTACTTTGTTGAGGTATTAAAGGCAGCCTTAAGCCAATGGCTTCCTTTGTCAACACCAATTCCAGTTTGGAATAAACTGCAACAGCGCTTAACATATTTGCAGGATGTGGAATATAGTCCATCTGTGTTCATCATATACAATCAGTAATGAGAAACAGGGAAGGGTGACCTTCATCTGCTTAGTAGGATAGAAGTGCAGCATTAAACACATCAGGGAATACCTCCCTTGTGCTGCTCCCTTCCCTAGTACCAGCTACAAAGCAGATAAAGATCTCAGTGCACTAATTAGCCATGTCAGCTACAGATGTTGGCATGTACCATGGCTGGTGCAGGATCACGCCTGTGAAACCACACAGAGAGCTCACCGTTCAGCCAACTTGCCAGCTGCTATTTCATCACTTGAACAGAACAGTCTGTTCTCATCACATCAGCCTCCTCTGAACCTCTTGGTTTTTAGCAAGAACATAGAAATTTAAGTTCCTGAAAGTGTTTCATACACACTTGAATCATGGCCAAGAGAATATCACTAAGTTAGCAGCTGAGCCTGAACAGGTCATACTGTTCAAGTGGTGCAATTCAATTGGTACTTTTTTATCATTCTACTATGCTTTCAAGCACATGATTTCTGAACAGATAATAAGTCACTTGTCAACCCAGCTACAGCAGTGGCTCTACTTCAGATTTTTCTTCCACTTGTCATGGAAATAAATATATCTTTTGCAGGAAGATTAAAGCAGTGGGCTCAAGAGCAGTAATGACCAGTTTAAATAAGCTGTACCTGATGAACACATGGAACAATACCTATTCACAAGTGAAAAGCATTTAATGAGCTCATTTTATGTGGTTCCCTGAAGAATTAATCACAAGATGAAGTAAACTAGCACTGTCATAGTGTTTGATAGAATTATTTTTCAGCCAGGAACTTCAGTATCTAAAGGTAGTGCCCAAATATCTAGCTATTCCACCTTAAATTATTAGTTGTTCCAGGAATAATGCTGCAACAAGGCTTGACAGCAGCCTTTCCTGCTCTGTTCATTAGCTATGGTGACCTAATCATTAATTTATTGAATGAAAAAATTATTTTAGTACCAGCAATACCAACATCTGAACTCCAAACTCTTCCCTTAGAAAGAAATTGGAAGGGCATACTGGGATACCTTTCTTGATAGAGAGCTATTACTTTGGAAACAGAGACTAATTAGATTATGTATTTAAATTATCCACAAGAATTTTCTTCCTTTCAGCCTTCAAGAAGACAGCATATTTTACAACCTGCCAAGGGAGCACTCCTCTGTAACTCTTTAGTTTCCAGTTGTAAAGCCTCACAAATTAGTGGCACCTGAGCCAGAGCTCAGCTGCCTGCTGTAGTTATTGCTAAGGAAAGCATCACCTGCCCAAGGGATAAGGAATCTCAAGCAATGTGGCTGCTGCTCAACCTTTTGCCAGTATTCCTGCTTGAGACTCACTGGCTATACCAAACAACATAGAAGCAAAGCAGTTGTTATTCAAGGCAGCTAGTGTTTACCCAGATGCCACTGAGTTTGAACTGAACAACAAATCAAACTCTTCACTTCCAACTGTACTCCTAAGGCCCTCCTGCCTAGAAGGCCTGTTTCTGATATTCTTGCTTGCTAGTATAGTGAAGGACTCTTGGCAATAGCCATGCTTTTCACCCCTCCTTCTCAGAGCAGGAACTTGACACATATTGAAGCTGTTATCATAGGTTATGTCAGCTGCATGCAGTTAACTGTCTGCTGCTGGCACTGCTATCCTTCTTTGCGGTTTGGGTATATGCAAACTGTACTGAGAGAAATTGCATATGTTTTGCTCAGCTTACTCTTAAGTGTGTTCTCTACTGGTTCACAAATTTATCTGTATGATAAATAGGATTTTCCTCTACTATTCTTGCATTCACACAGCCTAAACCCGTGCAATCCTGGCCACGTTGTTGGGTACTGCAGTTTGCTTACCCAGCCTGGTTATCCCAGGAGCAGCCAAAAGCCTATCATTAAACATTCATCCCAGCAGTAACTGAAGAGCACTCCACCTACCCCCCAGATACTGTGCCTCTCAATACACAAATTGTTGTAGCAGTTACTGCCACAGGAGTCACTCCATACTGCCTCTTGTAAGAGATGCAAATTATGTTCATTATGTATTCTGAGAAGACTGATGAAAATTCTGCTTGCAGAGCCTACTTATTGTAGGCTCTTCTACAGCAGTTCCAGACTTGTTAAGTATTATGAGGCATATTGCTTAATATAAGGGTTAACTTGCCTTCAAGATTAGTTATTACCAAGGCCCCCAGCTCTCCCTTGTATCTGTAGCAAGAAAGGCAATGAATAACTACACAAGACTCAAATCTAAAAAGGTGGTATGGAAGGATCTCTACCAGAGGTAAGAAAGGATTAACCAGGAATTTTAGAGCTCCACTACAGTTCTCACAGTAGGTATCCCACTGAACAGCTAATAGAGTTTCATAGATGACTGTTCTACAGTAAGTTTCCCTACCAGTAATTACAATTACACATATTAGAGGAAGTTTACACTACAATTCATGAATCCAGACTATAAAGCAATCTTGACCAGGGTCTCTCTAATTTTCCATCTCTGTGATAGTCTTGGCAGCACATTATAGGGATGCCCCCATCCCTCAGAAGCATACAAGGAGAACTGTCCGATCTAGAGTTTACCTTCCATCAACCAGGGCAGCCATTGTTTGCAGACAGATCTGTGATTTGAGCTACTAGAAAACTAGTCCTTACACACAGAGTGACCTTTGTCCCTTGCCTCAAAGCACAGATGACCGCCTTCTGACAGGGCAAAGAAGAGATCTGAAAGGTAGAGAAACAGGTTGTAATATTAAAACGGCATCCTTAGGGCTCCCAACTTCTTTTGCCCCCTCCTAAGAGGAAGGTTTCATCCATGGGGCTAAAATGATTAGGTGTGTGGCACATCAGCATTAGGATTTGAATAGACTTTGCTGGAGGCACAACTTCCTAGCTGATATTGTCGTGAAGCCTCCTGACTGTCAAGGTGAAGGTCCATTATCCTTATCCTTATTATGTCTCTTAGACCTACTTTTTCTGCTGAAGAGATAATCCTCATCTTATTGCTTAAGATGAAGATGCAACATGAACTGACAGAACAGCAGGAAATTCAGCTCTAAGGTCAATAATTTGTCCTTATCTGGCCCTGTAATGTCTGAGATTTTGGATTTAAGGGGACATGCACCAGCTATGAAGCTATATTAAAAACTTTTAAAATTAATTTTAAAGTCACATCGATAATTAGGGGCAGATATCTACAGGGCATTTCAGCTGAGACACTTCATCCTCAAGCACTCCAGAGCATATGCAAGGCAAACTTTCAGATGAGGAGAGACCAGAATGGTCTATATCTCCATCAGCCAGGGCTGAGAAGACCTGGATGGGAGAAGATGCTTTGTTCAGCACTCAACTGCCCAGCTGGTATAAACAAGATAATCCTGTTGAAACTGGTACCTCCTGTTTATTGACTAGGCCTGACACTGTGCTTCATCCAGCTTCTTTATAACCCTGAGACCCTTGAACCCAAGCACAGCCTCAGAATCAGGTTTCTAATGCCAGTTTTTCTTCTCAGTTACAATCCTCAGACAGCTTATTTGATTTGATCTCTTTAACATAACCTCAAGTTGTACTTCTGTGGAGTCCATGCTGAGGTAGCGACTAGTGCCTTATCCCTGTTTGTGTTTCACAGCAGAAGCTCATTAAGACCTCTTGGCAGCCCCTGATCCCAGTGGTATCATCTTGATTCTACTAACAATCCATTTGTCCGCATGCAAGATCTGAAGTTTTTTTCCAAAATCCTTGCAGGTTACAAAGTTACCGTCATGCTGCTTCAACATTTCTTTTGAGAGACTCGAGCCAGCAAGCAGAATTTGCATCAGCCCTGTTTCCAGATCAAGCTAGCTTTCTCCAGATGTGGAATTTATTGCTCTGTACAGGCAAATTAATTCTTCTGTAGTGGTCACATATTGCTATCCTTGCTGAATAAATTTTACAAGCATTCCCAGGGTTAACCCAGCTGGTCACACAAATTTCCTGAAAGTGTAAGGTTTACTAGGAAAGGAGAGCACCAATAAGACAGAAAAATCAGCAAGTTTGGCAACAATACCCAACAGCTATGGAATATTGGTGCACTTTTACATCTTTTCTCCAACTATGGCTTTTCTACTTTAATTTCTGAGCAGCCACGTTGGATTCACCCTTTCTTGACATTAAGTGCATTTATTTGCTTTCCCACAGAGACAAAACCCTACCCTTTCCATACATTATAATTACCTGCTTAGAGTGTTTCTTCTCATATCTGCTTGAGAAATAGAGGCCTTGAGCAAGAAGAAGTACATCTATAGCAGCTACTGGTCTGCAGGTAGTTTAACAAGTAATGCTCTTCTCAATGAGAAAATAGATTGTGTAGAGATGCTTAGCAGCATTGTAGAAGGCATATAGCAGATTAGACATCACCCTTACCTTCACAAAAATTCACTCAATTTTACACTGAGCTTTTCTATGCACCAAAGCATGATGTTTGCTAGTTAACCCTCTGTTCTGGTGACTCACCTGACATTGATTCAGCACTCTCATCTTCCTTACCTTTGCTACCATTTGGTTGTCCTTCCTCCAAAACAAACCTACTATTAATAAAAAATTCTGCTTCATATGTGACCACATCCTCACACCATCCAGGGAAATTTGAAAAGCTGATTGTGACTCAAGAAACATTGTGCTGGATACAAATGCAGTGATTCTTTCAACAGATGTGGTGGGCACCCTTAGAGAATGCTCAGCTGGAACGATCTTCTGTGGATTACAACGCACGTCTCCAGCCTCACCTACCTCCAAGGAAGGTCCTATGGAAGCTGTCACAAAGACCTGCTAGCATTATAATTGCCTAGGAGGTCACTATCAGACACAATGTCATCCTTTTAGTTTAACACTGCCTGTCAAGTCTTCACGGCAAACACATACCTTCACAATTAATTTTTTTCTCTATTTGAATCTGCATCTTTAATTTTGTCTATTTACAGAGACATTGTCTTCCTAGGGCATACCTATGGCCATTTTTTAGCATACAGTGTACCTTCATGCTCTCAGATTTGGTTACTTTTGGGCAACCTTGTTTATGAAAGTTACAAAAGACTTGTGAAGAAACAAGTGCTCCCTTTTAAGGCAAACAGCTTAATTAGGAGAAGACTTAAAAATTTCCAACTCTCAAAATAATAAAATCACCAGCGTTATCAGTGAATTTATAGAAAGCATTTGAGTAACCAACATTTCTGAGGGGTAAAATCTCTTTACAAAGAAGTCCACCTGAGGAAATCTGTCTATGTTGGCAACACCTGCATTTGTCTTATGGCTCACTGCACTGGCATTGTCAAGTGTCACTATATAATGGACATTGGACTTTATAAATCATCACCTGAGAAGTCAGTTTCTCTGTCACAGTAGAAGACTAACTCCAGAAAATCATCAACATCTGCAGGTATCCCAGTTTACCCCAGACTGAAGTAGCATGCACAAATTCGCTGGAAGACAGGTGTTCCATCAAAAACAGTAAGGGCACTCCATCCAAAACCAGAACAAAACCCTACTCCTGCTTCACAGCATCCTAACCTGCACTCCCATTATCTCTGCTATTAGAGAGCTTCTTTCATATTAGTTATTCATTATAACAAATTGGCTATAAAACCCAGGAAATTTAGAGTTTATATAGTTAATCAATTTAATTATTTCAACCCCATCCTCCCCACACACAGAACTGAAAAGGCGCGTTTATATTGCTTTACTCTCACGCTTCCCCAGCCAGCCGCCCTGCCGGAGCCAGGAGCAGGA